TCATCTCAGTAATCCAACAATCAGAATCCTGCAAAAAGAGGGACACTATCCAAGGCTGGATTGGGAGATGGAACTTATTCACGAGGGAGTTAAAAACCGAGATCTTTCATCTGTCCAGTTGGGACAGAAGAGCATTACATGTTCCATAGTCTCCAGGGCCGTGTCATTACAGGAGCATGTTCTGTTTGCGATGGGAACTCTGGAATAACGACCCGACAGAACTGCTGTAGGAAAACAGTTGAGACGGGCACAGGTAAAAGCCCTTCGCTTAGTCTCCGAAGAAATAGGGGGTGGAATAGCTAGGGCTAGGCCTGAACACGGTCCTCTTGCACAAGAAGCTGTGTTGGAGAAGTCAAGTTGCTGTAGTTTCTTTTTAATTAGGGGTAGGGCCACCGGGCTGATACACTCTAAGTTAAGAACAGTTTTACAATTCAAATTGAGAAGAGAGCGGAATTTGAGGTTAATTGTAGTTTTCCAAGGGGAATTATGAATATCTCTTAGGATCAAATTGGAAAAGCCACCTCTAATTCGAGCATTCGATGCTAATAGGTGGAGGGTGTAGGAAATGGCTCGGCTCCATGCTCGTCTAGCAATTGAAGGCTGGGCGAACTCGAGTCGTAGGGCTGCACCTGAGACACATCTCGGGACGCCGGAAAGAGATCTCAGAAACATATGAAGTGGACGATCCAGGTTACCTGATATTGCTGTAGTCCATACTTCACATCCATATAATAATTTAGGGACGACTTTGGCATTAAATATTTGGATTGCTGCTGGAAGGTGTTTGCCGCCCTTCTGGTGGTAAAATCGGACAATGGCGTTAGAGGTCGTGGTTGCAGCGAGAAAGGCAGATTGTAGATGGGTGGTCCAGGAGAGATTATAGGTGAATATTAATCCTAGATATTTAAAGGCTTTTACCTTTTCTAAGTAGCCACCTGTGATCTTAAGCAGTTTGCATAACAAACTCAGTAGCACAGCATTTTGGCTAAACTACAGTGGTACCTCGGGTTAAGTACTTAATTCGTTCTGGAGGTCTGTTCTTAACCTGAAACTGTTCTTAACCCGAAGCACCACTTTAGCTAATGGGGCCTCCCGCTGCTGCCGCGCCGCCGGAACACAATTTCTGTTCTCATCCTGAAGCAAAGTTCTTAACCTGAAGCACTATTTCAGGGTTAGCAGAGTCTGTAACCTGAAGCGTATGTAACCTTCAGGGTCGAAAGTTCGAGCCCCACGTTGGGCAAAAGAATCCTAGACTAGATGACTTCCAATTCCACAGTGCGCATCAAAGCGGCTTCTTGACTTATTGGAAGAGAGAAAGAAGCTTGGCTTTCTGGTGTGGGTATTGTAGGGAGGTGGCACCCAGGTGAATCAACTGCCAGGGGTGCCAACTAGAATAAAATATTGGGGTGTGGGCAGGTGAGCCCCACCCCACTGGCCTTTGGTTTGGACTCAGTCGGACCCTTATGTTTCCCTCCTCTTATGGTCTTGATCTATCGGCTACTTTTAAAATGAGACTGCATTTTAAATTGCATTTTAAGCTGTATTTTAAATTGGTCTCCCCCCTTATTATGTTTTTACTGTGATTTTATTGGTGTCAGCTGGTGTGGCTGGGGAGGGTGGGGTATAAATAAAATTATTATTATTATTATTATTATTATTATTATTAATCAACATAATTTGAATGGCAATGCCAGAAAAACATTCTGACAGCAAAAGCTGTTTGACAGTGGAACGGTCTCCCTCAGAGGGTGGCGGACTTTCCTTCCTTGGAGGTTTTTCAAGCAGAGATTGGATGGCAACCTGTCATGGATGCTTTAGCTGAGTTTATTCCTGCATTGCAGGGGGTTGGACTAGATGACCCCTGGGTCCCTTTCCTTTTTTTAAAAAAAAATCCTTTATTATTGTATTCACATAATAGACATTCTTTACAACAAACAACTCCAAAATAGACAACTCCAAAATAAAATCATATGTAGAAAACCATAAGTCTCATGTTTTCATTTACAGTGGTACCTCAGGTTAAGAACTTAATTCGTTCTGGAGGTCCGTTCTTAACCTGAAACTATTCTTAACCTGAAGCACCACTTCAGCTAATGGGGCCTCCCGCTGCTGCCACGCAATTTCTGTTCTCATCCTGAAGCAAAGTTCTTAACCCGAGGTAATATTTCTGGGTTAGCGGAGTCTGTAACCTGAAGCGTCTGTAACCTGAGGTACCACTGTACACTGATCTCCTCTCCGATATGTTTACTTGATATTTCTTGCTGCTTTCTGCTTTCCTTATAGAATCTTGATTAAAATTCAAATCTCTTCAATCCTATACCAATCTTTAACAATTTCAATTAACCCCTTCACCTCCCTGCCCCACAGCCCAGTACTTTCCTCCACCAATGCGATCTTCTTTACCTACTATTATTTTTGTGATTGTTGCGTTATTCCCCCTGGGTCCCTTTCCATGCCTACAATCCTATGAAATATTTTATTGGGGGAGCTCCTCTCCTCCCCCCAATAAACTAAGGACTCCCTCCTTCTCCCTCTCCATTCAGCGCCCATCTCCCCACCCAGGGGGTCTCCTCTCCTGCCCCCCTTCTCCCCATGCCCCCTCCTCCCTGCAGCCCTGGGGCTCCCCGGCACCCACATGCCCCGGGGCCAGAAGAGGTGGGTGTGCGGGAGCTCACCAGGTCCCCGAAGCCCCTCGGGCAGAGGCAGAAAAAGCCGCTGGAAGGACCAGGCATGCGTATTGGGGTGGACTGGGCAGGAGGGAAGAGCGTTGGCTCTGGCGGACCTCGCGACCCCGCACCTCCCTTCCTCGCCACATTCGCGTCCTCTCTAGGAAACGAAGGACGCCTCGTTTTAACTCTACAAAAGCCGTTGCGCAGGGTTTAATTAGAATGAGGGGGGGAGAGATCCCCCTCTAGAAATAATAAAACAAACAATATAATATAATATAATATAATATAATATAATATAATATAATATAATATAATATAATATAATATAATATAATATAATATAATATAATATAATATAATATAATATAATATTTGGGTGGGTGGGTGGGTGTATCCCTCTAGAAATAATAAAATAAACACATAGAGGAATACACACTCACACACAATATTATTATCTTATATTATATTAGTTTGTTTTATTATATCTAAATAATAACGCCCTCCCACCAGATGTCAAAGAGAAAAACAACTACCAAACTTTTAGAAAACATCTGAAGGCAGCTCTGTTTAGGGAAGCTTTTAATGTCTAATAGGTTATTGTATTTCAGTGTTTTGTTGGAAGCCGCCCAGAGTGGATGGGGAAACCCAGCCAGATGGACAGGGTATACTGAAAATAAATTATTATTATTATTATTATTATTATTGTTGTTGTTGTTGTTGTTGTTGTTGTTTTTCTTCATTCCTTTGCATTCCTCTCTTTACTTTTGTTCTTTCATTTTTCATTTTTGTTCTGTCATTTTTTTCTAGATATAATTTTATTTTATTGTGAAAACATTAATAAAAATTCCTGTGGGGAGGAAAAGAAGCCCTGGCACAGTGGAGCAGCAGAGCTCAGCCCTCATGGTTATAGTAGTAGTCATAATAACAGTAATAATAATATCTTTATTATTTATATGCCGCCCATCTGTAGTCACTGGTAGCATCAACTTATTGAATACCTGAAGGAGCGTCTCCACCCCCATCGATCAGCCCAGACACAGAGGTCCAGCTCCGAGAGCCTTCTGGCAGTTCCCTCCCTGCGAGAAGTGAGGTTACAGGGAACCAGGCAGAGGGTCTTCTTGGTGGTGGTGCCCACCCTGTGGAACACCCTCCCATCAGATGTCAAGGAGATAAACAACTATCTGACTTTTAGAAGACATCTGAAGGCAGCCCTCTTTAGGGAAGTTCTTAATGTTTGATGTTTTATTGTGTTTTTAATATTCTGTTGGGAGCCGCCCAGAGGTGCTGGGGAAACCCAGCCAGATGGGCGGGTATAAATAAGTTGTTGTTGTTGTTGTTGTTGCTTCCTGCATCTAGTGCAGGGTATCCCCAAACTTGGGTCTCCTCTAGCTGTTTGGACTACAACTCCCATCTTCCCTAACTAGAGGGACCAGCAGTCAGGGATGATGGGAACTGTAGTCCAGAAACAACTGAAGGCCCAAGTTTGGGAAATCTTCCTCTATTGGGAGCGAATGACCTCAACTCTGTGCTGTCAAAAGGGCTTTTGTCTCCCTTGGGGTCTTCCAACATCAGGAGCTCAGGAAGCTGCCATATCATGCCAAGTTAGACCACTGGCACTGCCCCACTTCCCTAAATGGGCCAGCAATCACTGCCGCTAGTTCAGACCCCAGTGGAGTCTATGTGCATCCATCCACCTGAGCGGATCAGTCAGCCACCTGAGAACCAATCCTTTCAAACATTTGATTTGAAAAACAGAGAAACGGTGGAATATATTGAAGCGAAGATCTCACGGGCAATAATCACATAGTATCATTTAATAGGGATAAATAAGAAATGCTATGTGATGCTACAGCCTGGTCTGAATATTAACCAGGCTATCTATACCTTTTAGGATCGAGATTCAGGTAGGTAGCCATGTTGGTCTGACGCAGTCGATATATATACAGTGGTACCTCAGGTTAAGTACTTAATTCGTTCCGGAGGTCCGTACTTAACCTGAAACTGTTCTTAACCTGAAGCACCACTTTAGCTAATGGGGCCTCCTGCTGCACAATTTCTGTTCTCATCCTGAAGCAAAGTTCTTAACCTGAAGCACTATTTCTGGGTTAGCGGAGTCTGTAACCTGAAGCGTATGTAACCTGAAGCGTATGTAAACCAAGATACCACTATATATATATATATATATATAATTGTCCAGTAGCACCTTAGAGACCAGCTAAGTTTGTTCTTGGTATAAGCTTTTGTGTGCATGCATACTTCTTCAGATATTTGGTATCTGAAGAAATGTGCACGCACACAATTTTTTTACCTTTCGAATCGGCTGGCAAAGGGAAATGGGTTAAGAGATCAAACAGGTTTCGAGAAAACCAATTGCTAATATACACAGGCATAATGTACACCGTTTATTTTATTTTTTACTTGCTTATCTAAAGCATTTTTTTTACCCTGCTCTCAAACAGTCCTTCAACTCAGGCTAACAATCTAAAAGACACAACACAAAAAGAAAAAGGATCAGGAGGGAGGAGGAGAAAAGCACATTCAAGTATAATTGCAGTCTCCTTGAAATGACCAGTGCCAAAAGCTGAGCCAATGAGAAGCCTCTTCTCTCCAGTCTAGCCTGATGGAATGGTAAATTGGGGGGAGAACCTGATGGGCAGGACCAGCCCTACCATTGGACGGTTGGGCGGAGACTGATGATTTGGGGCATGATTGACAAGGCAGCAAATGTATGGTCATGTAGTTTTATTTTACTGGCATGGAGGGGGAAGAGACACTTGTGGGATCTTGTGCCTGAGGGGCTAGAATAACTTCCCTAGCTTTGGATATTCCACACTTTGACTTAGGGAGCGGGCCCCCATTTCCTATTCTGCCTCAAGCAAAAAAAATTAAAATCCCCCTGCTGGCTCTGCTGAGGTCGGTTGTCGGTCTTATAAAGGTAAAGGTACCCCTGACCATTAGGTCCAGTCACGGACAACTCTGGGGACGCAGAAAAGAGGAGGAATTTCCCGTTGCACCTCGGCTGCTGCGGAAGACGGAAGCAGGAGGATTTAGAGAAGCCAACTGCTCTACTTGGGGAGGGATGTGGATTGTTGCTTGCAAGCTGATGCCTGAATAAAAGAACTATAAAATATAAACTGCTTGTTAATTATTATCTGCGAAGTTACTGGAGCAGGAGGCGGACTCTCCACGCATGATAGTGTGTGTGTGTGTGTGTGTGAGAGAGAGAGAGAGAGAGAGAGAGAATGAATGAGCATGTGTTTTGTGTGTGTTTAAGATCTCTCTCACACACTCAGCAAATCCACACACCCTTTCCTTCCTCTGCCTGTTTCTTCACTTTCCCTCCTTTCCCTCCACTCTAGACAAACTCACCTGAGCAAACAGCATTTCTGCTTAGGAGTTACTCGTATCCCACCTCGGAAGGTGACCTTAAATTCCCAAAAAGACTTTGGCGGGACATTGTGCAGGGACGAGTGGAAGCCTAGCAGGAGCTATCCCCTGTCATGATTTATACCACATTTTGGACCACCAATCAATTACCTATAGACCATAATTTCTCTCTATGTTACTAAAGCAAGTGGAAATCAATTTTTTAAAAACGGGTTTCTTTGTTGTCAGCACATTAATAGGACTCCTTGCTTGGCATTCATTTCTACAGTGAGTGATAGAATCTCGTTCTACAGTTTTTCCTGAGTGCGGAAGAGTGAGGTGCATCTTCTGAATAAAGGATTAGTCTCTTCCTGCGTAGATTCTTCGATGACGTTGAAGGTGTGCAGTAATGCTGAGGTGATCTTGATATGGATTCTGCTTGGTGAATTATTTGATGAGATCATTGGTTTTTGGGTTGTTGTTTTTGTAAACAACTTTTTATTGTATCTCCAATGGTGACAGTCTACAAATGATGAGATTACTGTTCGGACAGAAGTATTTTCCACTCTCTGATCAATTACATGGTTTCCCCGGGGTGTGAATTCTTTTGATGAGAAGCTAATGTTTTCTTTTCACCAAAGCTCTTTCCACACTCTGAGCACCGATACGGTTTCTCCCCTGTGTGGATTCTCTGATGAGAAGTGAGGTATCTGCTGAGACGGAAGGACTTCCCACACTCCGAACATTTATATGGCGTCTCCCCTGTGTGAATTGTTTGGTGAGAGGTCAGGTGACTCTTCTGAGTGAAGCGTTTCTCGCACTCAGGGCACTGATACGGTTTCTCCCCTGTGTGAAGTGTTTGGTGGGACGTAAGGTGGGAAATACTGATGAAGCTCTTTCCGCACTCTAAGCATTGATACGGCGTCTCTCCCTTGTGAAATTTTTGATGATTCGTTAGAGTTATATTGTGCCTGAAGCTCTTTCCGCACTCCAAGCACTGAAATAATTTCTGTCCTGTGTGAATGGTTTGATGTGAAGTGAGATATCTCTTCTGCCTGAAGGTCTTTCCACATTCCAAGCACTGGTATGGTTTCTCCCCTGTGTGGATTCTCTGATGAGGGATGAGGTTCACCTTCCGAGTGAAGCACTTTCCACACTCCAAGCATTTGTATGGTTTCTCCCCTGTGTGAATTCTTTGATGATTAGTGAGAACCCACTTGTGAGCGAAGCTCTTTCCACATTCCTGGCACTGATATGGTTTGTCATTTGTAGGCGTCCTTTGAGGCGTGGTGGGGCTGGAACCGCGCTGAAAACCCTTTCCACCTGCTGCAATGGAAACAGGAAAGAGACTGAGATAGAAATGGAGCCCCAAATCACATAGTATATATTGCAGTGCTTGAAACATCTGAGGCAAGATAGGACGGCAATTTACAAAACTGAATGTCATTTCTGATGTTGTTTTGCAACTATGGGTTTATATATATGTATATATATATATAATCCTATCTAACAAAATCCCCATTTTGCAATATTTTTAAAAAATAATTCAATTAGGCTTTTCATTTATATGGAAAAGTGGAATTACAGAACTATAGAAAAACTAATGTATAAAGTTTGAATTTTAGCATTTATACATGCCAGCAGTGGGGCAGGATGGGGCATGAGATTCTAAAGCACAAGAAATGTCAAATCTGTTAGTTTATGCTGATTTTTATGGGTTGTTGTTGTTGTTTTACACTTTTTAGAATAAATAAATAAATAAGTAACGTTTTGGACATTACCTTTAAGTCCTTTAAGGACTTTAAAACAGATTTTATATTGATTTATGTATCTATATTTATATAGTGCAGTACAGTGGTACCTCGGATTAAGAACTTAATTCATTCTGCAGATCCGTTCTTAACCTGAAACTGTTCTTAATCTGAGGTACTACTTTAGCTAATGGGGCCTCCCGCTGCCACTTCATCCTGAAGCAAAGTTCTTAACCAGAGGTACTATTTCTGGGTTAGCGGAGTCTGTAACCTGAAGCGTCTGTAGCCTGAAGCTCTGTAACCCGAGGTACCACTGTATCATTACAAATGATATATCAAAGCAGTTTGCAGAAATGAAAACAAAGCCATAACAATAAAACCATAAAAACGTTAAAAGGATCAATAGTCTGGGATGGCAGGAGGTGAAATCCAGAAACATCTGAATTTTTATTTATTTACAGTCGTACCTTGGTTTTCAAACAGCTTAGTTCACGAACAACTTTGAACTCAGAAGCTGAACGCCTCAGAAGCCGAACACCTGGCGCAACTTCTGCGGCTTCCGATTGGCTGCAGGACGCCCCTGCTGCCAATCGGAAGCCGTGCCTTGGTTTCCAAACGTTTCGGAAGTCGAACGGACTTCCGGAATGCATTCTGTTTGAAAACCAAGGTACGATTGTACTTGCTTATTAAAATTTGAATAGCGCCCTTTACCCAAAGCTCTTCAGGAGTTCCATAATATTAAACATAGCTGTCAACTTTTCCCTTTTCCTGCAAGGAATCCTATTCAGAATAATGGAATTTCCCTTAACAAAAGGGAAACGTTGACAGCTATGATATTAAAATACAAAATAAGAACACAAAACAGATAATAAAAGCCAAGCCAAATCCTGGATGGCTTCAGGATCACCTCAGAAACACGAGAGAAACACAGAGCCTCACCAAGGGAGACGACGACCTTACAGTTTTCCTCCATGACTTCCTTGTGTAGCCCTCTCTGGTCAGGATCCAGCAGAGCCCATTCCTCCTCAGTGAAATGCACAGCCACATCCTGGAACGACACGGGACCCTAAAAGAGAAAGATTTACATGTTCCTCTTTAAAGGGAACATAAACATGATCTACCAGCAAAATCCAGAAGGCTAGACAAGGGAAAGATGGTCGGGTCCTATTGTCCAGGATTTTAAACCAGGGTAAAATCTGACAACATTTGGAATATGAGTTCATACAGGAAGTAGCAGGCTATTAACATCAATGTATGCACGCAGACTGTCTCGCCAGAGTGGTGCATGCTCTAGTTATCTCCCGCTTGGACTACTGCAATCGCTCTATGTGGGGCTACCTTTGAAGGTGACCCTGAAACTACAACTAATCCAGAATGCGGCAGCTAGACTGGTGACTGGGAGCGGACGGCAAGACCACATAACACCGGTCTTGAAAGACCTACATTGGCTCCCAGTACGTTTCCGAGTACAATTCAAAGTGTTGGTGCTGACCTTTAAAGCCCTAAACAGCCTCGGTCCTGTATACCTGAAGGAGCGTCTCCACCCGCATCATTCTGCCCTGACACTGAGGTCCTATGCCAAGGGCCTTCTGGCGGTTCCCTCGCTGCGAGAAGCCAAGTTACAGGGAACCAGGCAGAGGGCCTTCTCGGTGGTGGCACCCAACCTGTGGAACTGCCCTCCCACCAGATGTCAAAGAGAAAAACAACTACCAGACTTTTAGAAGACATCTGAAGGCAGCCCTGTTTAGGAAAGCTTTTAATATTTAATAAACTATTGTATTTTAATATTCTGTTGGAAGCCACCCAGAGTGGCTGGGGAAACCCAGCCAGATGGGCGGGGTATGTATGTAGTTGTTGTTGTTGTTGTTTAGTCGTTTAGTCGTGTCCGACTCTTCGTGACTCCATGGACCAGAGCACGCCAGGCACTCCTGTCTTCCACTGCCTCCCGCAGTTTGGTCAGACTCATGTTTGTAGCTTCGAGAACACTGTCCAACCACCTCGTCCTCTGTCGTTCCCTTCTTCTTGTGCCCTCCATCTTTCCCAACATCAGGGTCTTTTCCAGGGAGTCTTCTCTTCTCATGAGGTGGCCAAAGTCTTGGAGCCTCAGCTTCAGGATCTGTCCTTCCAGTGAGCACTCAGGGCTGATTTCCTTAAGAATGGATAGGTTTGATCTTCTTGCAGTCCATGGGACTCTCAAGAGTCTCCTCCAGCACCATAACTCAAAAGCATGAATTCTTCGGCGATCAGCCTTCTTTATGGTCCAGTTCTCACTTCCATACATCACTACTGGGAAGACCATGGCTTTAACTATACGGACCTTTGTTGGTAAGGTGATGTCTCTGCTTTTTAAGATGCTGTCTAGGTTTGCCATTGCCTTTCTCCCAAGGAGCAGGCGTCTTTTAATTTCGTGACTGCTGTCACCATCTGCAGTGATCATGGAGCCCAAGAAAGTAAAATCTCTCACTGCCTCCATTTCTTCCCCTTCTATTTGCCAGGAGGTGATGGGACCAGTGGCCATGATCTTCGTTTTTTTGATGTTGAGCTTCAGACCATATTTTGCGCTCTCCTCTTTCACCCTCAATAAAAGGTTCTTTAATTCCTCCTCACTTTCTGCCATCAAGGTTGTGTCATCTGCATATCTGAGGTTGTTGATATTTCTTCCGGCGATCTTAATTCCAGCTTGGGATTCATCCAGCCCAGCCTTTCGCATGATGAATTCTGCATGTAAGTTGAATAAGCAGGGAGACAACATACAGCCTTGTCGTACTCCTTTCCCAATTTTGAACCAATCAGTTGTTCCATATCCAGTTCTAACTGTAGCGTCTTGTCCCACATAGAGATTTCTCAGGAGACAGATGAGGTGATCAGGCACTCCCATTTCTTTAAGAACTTGCCATAGTTTGCTGTGGTCGACACAGTCAAAGGCTTTTGCATAGTCAATGAAGCAGAAGTAGATGTCTTTCTGGAAGTCTCTAGCTTTCTCCATAATCCAACGCACGTTTGCAATTTGGTCCCTGGTTCCTCTGCCTCTTCTAAATCCAGCTTGCACTTCTGGGAGTTCTCGGTCCACATACTGCTTAAGCCTGCCTTGTAGAATTTTAAGCATAACCTTGCTATGTATGTATGTATGTATAAATAATTAAATTAATAAAATTATTATTATTATTATTATTATTATGCTTCTGGCCCAGAGATGGAAAGGAGGAGAAGACTGGCAGGCCAAGCTGACAGAATATGCAGAAATGGCAAGACGTGACGGGAAAGATCAGCAGCCAGGAAGACCAAGTATTTTCAAAAGACTGGAATAACCTTTTTAATATATTCGAAAGACCACTGTAGGCAGTTGAAATCTTTGGCAGGAATGCAATGACACTTGTAAAGTAACATGAACTTTGGTTACTATGATTATATCACAGATAGATAACGATAAATGATGCAGGAATTCTTTTATTTTTATTTTTAAGAAATGGAACCCCTGGAGGGAGGGATTGGGGTCTGAAGGTTCGAAAGAACCTCTTTTTATTTTTTCCCCGGATTGGCTATGTTTATTGTGTACAACTTTATGTAAAACTAAAAAAAAAAATATTTTAAAAAACCAAGAAAAGCGAGGATAATAACACAGCATCAATTTATATAAGAATGTATGGGAGTATATGACATTTGGCTTTGTTTTTTTTAACTCATTTTGTTTCTCTTTCTTAAACACATCGTGGTTCTTTTCGCCCCTTAACTTTCTCCCCTCCCCCCCCGTATCACTTTATTTCTAAAAATGAAATAAGGATTTAAACCTTACTGATGGGCACCCACAGCCTTCGTCAAATGAAGAATAAAAGGGAAGGAGAGAGATTCTGTCAGGCCCAGGGAGGTGGCAGCGGGCAGAGGGACTGCCCCCCCCAGCCCTTCTTTTCCCCTACCTGATCTGTTGCCATGGCAACTGCTTCCCCTCTGCCAGAAGGAAGATGCAGCTGAGATGGTCCTTCCAGCATCATTCCATCACCTGGGAGAGACAAGGAGGGAGAAAGAGACATCAGCAGGCGTTTGCCTCAGAGGCCAAGAGCCACATGTCGAAAATACACACTGAGGTAAGTTTACAGATTGTCTCACTCATTTTATACACTCTGAATGTTTTGGACCCCACTTTTTTTTATTCATCTCCACTCCTTGTAAGCCATTACTGACAAATCAAGCGTTTTCCTCCATGTGGAATAATAATAATAATAATAATAATAATAATAATTTATTTATACCCTCCCCTCCCCTGCCAGAGCCAGGCTCAGGGCAGCTAATAACAGCAAAATTTCGATAAAAACATAATGGGGGAGAGAGGCCAATTTAAAATACAAGTTAAAAATACAATTTAAAATGCAGCTTCATTTTAATAGTAGCCCATAGATCAAAACCAGAAGGGGAGGGAAACATAAGGATCAGACTGAGTCCAAACCAAAGGCCAGGCGGAACAACTCTGTCTTGCAGGCCCTGCAGAAAGATGTCAAGTCCCGCAGGGCCCTAGTCTCTTGTGACAGAGCGTTGCACCAAGTTGGGGCCAGTACTGAAAAGGCCCTGGCCCTAGTTGCGACCAATCTAACCACCTTGCAACTTGGGACCTCCAAGGTGTTCTCATTTGTGGACCTTAAGATCCTCCACGGGGAATACCAGGAGAGGCGGTCCCGTAGGTACGTGGGTCCAGTTGGAAGGGACCCAAGGGTCATCTAGTCCAACCCCCTGCAATGCAGGAATAAACTTAGCTAAAGCATCCATGACAGATGGCCTCCACTTAAAAACCTCTAAGGAAGGAGAGTTCACCACCCTCGTGGGAGTCCGTTCCACTGCCAACTCACTGTCAGGAAGTTTTGTCAGTAACTTGAAGCCATGGGTTCGAGTCCTACCCTCCAGAGCAGGAGACATGCTCCCTCCTCCACGTGACAACCCTTCAGATATTGGAAGATGGCTATCATATCTGTTCTTGGTCTCCTCTTTTCCAGGCTAGACATACCCAGCTCCTTCAACCATTCCTCCTAAGACTTGGTTTCCAGACCCTTGATCATCTTGGTCCAGTATACCTGAAGGAGCGTCTCCACCTCCATCGTTCTGCCCGGATGCTGAGGTCCAGCGCCGAGGGCCTTCTGGGGTTCCCTTGCTGCGAGAAGCCAAGTTACAGGGAAGCAGGCAGAGGGCTTTCTCAGTAGTGGCGCCCGCCCTGTGGAACGCCGTCCCACCAGATGTCAAAGAGAAAAACAACTACCAGACTTTTAGAAGACATCTGAAGGCAGCCCTGTTTAGGGAAGCTTTCAATGTTTAACAGACCACTGTCTTTTAATATTCTGTTGGAAGCCGCCCAGAGTGGCTGTGGAAACCCAGCCAGGTGGGTGGGGTATAAATAATAAATTATTATCATTGTTATTATTATTATTTTTTCAGTGGGCGCCTCTTGTCTTCGATCCACGGGGGTTCCAGCTTCCAGTCGCTCTTTGGGTTCAGCGGCAAAAGGTCTCCCACCCACCCCCGTGAAGGGAAGCTTTTAATGTTTTAATGTTTAATAGGTTATTGTATTTTAGTGTTCTGTTGGAAGCCGCCCAGAGTGGCTGGGGAAACCCAGCCATATGGGCGGGGTATAATTAATTATTATTATTTTATTATTATTATCTTGGTCACCTTCCTCTGCACATCTTCCAGCTTGTCAACATCCTTTTTAAATTGTGGTGCCCAGAACTGGACACAGAATTCCTGGTGTGGTCTGACCAAGGCAGAATAGAGCAGGACCATGTAGCACTGTGGAAGAGTACTGGAGGAAAGTGCCTCCCCTGCCCCGAAACCCTTTAAAGCAGGGTGGTCCAACGCACGGCCCAAAGGCCTCATGTGGCCCTTGAGGCCTTTTTTGGCGGCCCTCAGCAGCATTTGACATTCGCCAGCTCTCCACTGTCTTCCCAAAGCTGGGTAAGTGAGTTGCTGAGCTTTGGGAGGGAGGTCCTAGGGCTGGAGGTAAAAGGTCAAGGGACCCCTGACCATTAGGTCCAGTCGCGGACGGCTCTGGTGTTGCGGCGCTCATCTCGCTTTACTGGCCGAGGGAGCCGGCGTTTGCAGACAGCTTCCGGGTCATGTGGCCAGCATGACTAAGCCGCTTCTGGCGAACCAGAGCAGCGCACGGAAACGCTGTTTACCTTCCCGCCGGAGTGGTACCTATTTATCTACTTGCACTTTGACATGCTTTCGAACTGCTAGGTGGGCAGGAGCAGGGACCGAGCAATGGGAGCTCACCCCGTCACGGGGATTCGAACCGCCGACCTTCTGATTGGCAAGCCCTAGGCTCTGTGGTTTAACCCACAGGGCCACCTGGAGAGGCGGCATCAAATTTTGTCTTCACTCCCTGTGTCATGTCAAAGTATTCTTGCAGCCCACATGGTCTGAGAGGTTGGGCTGCCCTGTCTTTATTGCATCCACTGTGTGGTGTGGTGGTTAAGAGCGGTGGACTCGTAATCTGGTGAACCGGGTTCGCGTCTCCGCTCTTCCACATGCAGCTGCTGGGTGACCTTGGGCCAGTCACACTTCTCTGAAGTCTCTCAGCCCCACTCACCTCACAGAGTGTTTGTTGTGGGGGAGGAAGGGAAAGGAGAATGTGAGCTGCTTTGCGACTCCTTCGGGTTGTGATAAAGTGGGATATAAAATCCAAACTCCTCCTCTTATTGCATAGCAACGGATCAGGCCAAGTTCAAGCCTGCCTTGTTAATCCTTACCCGGTACGGCGGCACCTTGTTCCCCCTCCTGCACGACCATCCATCTCAGGGGACTCCCTCTGGCGTCCAAAGGCGTCTTCTCTGCCTCAGGGAAACCAGCGGCCCCTTCTGCAAACAGGCCCTTTGCCAGAAACAGGGGATGGGGAGCAGGATTAGAAAAGGAATATCAGAGGAAAAGGCTTGGGATGCTTTCGGAAAAGGTTGGCAAATGACGGGAAGCGGGGTTTCCGTACATGAATTATTCTTCTTCTTATTGACATTATTAACAACCCAAATAGCAGGGTACTACAGGCCTGCCATACATCCTGGTTTTCCCGGATATATCCTGGAATTGGGCTGCAAAATGACGTCCGGGCGGATTTTTGCGAAACTGGCAAAATGTCCAGGGAAACCCGAACGGGTATGGCAAGCACGGCGATTTTTTATACAGTGGAATCTTGGTTTCCGAACGTAATCCGTTCCAGAAGACTGTTCAACTTCTGAAACGTTCGAAAACCGAAAAGCGGAAGCCTCAATACATTAACGAAACTCAAAACGGAAGCCGTTTCACCTTCCGAAAAACATTTGAAAACCGGAGCAATTACTTCCAGGTTTTTGAGGTTCGGGAACTGAAACATTTGACCACAGAGAAGTTCGAAGACCAAGGTTCCACTGTATTAAAAAATACTTTAAAAATCCAAGAAAAGCCCCAAAACAACTCTCACCAAAGGAAAAAAAAGCAATTATGGGGTACCCTCCCTCACACTCCTGCCCCCTAAAAATTAGGATATAAAGCTCTCACCTGCTGCTCTTCCTGCTTCTGGTCCTCTGCCCGGCTCAGAAGGAAACCTTCAGCCAGGGCCACTGCCTGATAGCTGGTCTCCGCTCCACATTCCCTGACCCAGTTCTCCATCTCCGGGGGGAGGACAGCCAGGAGCTGCTCCAGGATCACCAGGTCCAGGATCTGATTTTTCGTGTGTCGCTCTGGCTTCAGCCACTCACGGCAAAGGCGGTGGAGCCGGCTGCAAACCTCTCGGGGTCCCTCAGCCTCCTGGTAGCAGAAATGCCTGAACTTCTGGCGCTGAACATCTGAGCTGAGGGCATCCTCCTCGCCCAGGATCTCCTGCGTGGTTCTTTCCAAAAATTCTCCACTGTTCCCAATGTTGAAGTCATCAGACACTCTTCTTCTTGTAGGCCCAGCTAAGTCTTGCTTGTCCATCACTGATCTGGGCTCCAAAGAAGATTCCGAATCTTCCTTCTTCTTCAAAAACTGTGCTGACCAGAGGTGTTACACCAATTCCTGCAAAGCCAGCACATTGTCTTTTTAGAAAATTATTGCATTGTCTTATATGTTTATTTATATTTTTTCAAATATATACATTTTATTAGTTTTACAATCTATTTAACATTTCCAGGTTGTGACTTCCTTCCCCTCTTTCTGCGGTCCCTTATTTTTTTTAATGTCTTCTGCATCTTCAAGTTCATTTTACTTGTGCATTTATTTATCTTCTGTAAATATATACTCTTATAAAACTGCAGGTTGTTACATTAATCCTGCTAATGTTTTTATCTGTTTACAATTGATCTGTAAATATTCAATGAACCATTTCCAATCTTTTATAAGAAGTTTATTATCTTGATTTCTTATTCTTCTGGTAAGTTTCACCATTTCTGCATACTCCATAAGTTTTTATATCCACTCTTCCTTTTCTGGAACTTCTGCTTCTTTCCATTTTGGGGCAAGTAACATTTTTGCTGCTGTAGTCGTGTACATAAATAAATTTCTATACAATTTATGTAGTTCTGTCCCTATAATTCCCAAAAGAAAAGCTGCTGGGTTTTTTGAAAAAAATAAGTTATTTTGAACATCCGTTTCAATTCATTACGTATCATTTCCCAATAAGCTTTAACCTTACTACAAGACCAGAATTATTGCATTGTCAGGGCTGGAAGATTTTCCAGCAGGAAACCAGCGTGAGTTTGGCTTTCAAACAGCTCTTCCCAAGGAAGGAGAAGCAGGTGAATTGTATGTCAAGTCCCACAACAAATAATGGAGGGAGATTCCTCCACGTGAAGGCCATGGATTGATTGATTGATTGATTGATTGATTGATTTTATTGGAAGCCTCCCATCTTTTTGAGAGGATGCAGCAACCTTGACAGCTCTTCCCCCTCCCCTCAGCCTTCCACCAAGTCCATAGCCAAGGCCTTTAACCCTCACTCTGTAACCACAGAACTGTAGGGTCCTCTAATCCAACGCCCTGCAATGCAGGAATCTTTTTGCCAAATGTGGGGCTCGAACCCACGACCCTGAGATTAAGAATCTCAAGAGACAGCTGCCTCTTCCTGCATTGTGTGTGTGGGGGGTTGGACTAGATGACCCCTGGGTTCCCTTCCAACTCTAGGATTCTAAAATTTGATGCTCTGCCGACTGAGCTATCTCATGGTCTATAAACTATAGCCATAGCAACACAAGTGTGTTCAATTCAAAGTGTTGGTGCTGACCTAAACGGCCTCAGCCCAGTATACCTGAAGGAGTGTCTCCACCCCCATCGTTCTGCCTGGACACTGAGGTCTAGAGCCGAGGGCCTTCTGGCGGTTCCCTCCCTGAGAGAAGCAAAGTTACAGGGAACCAGGCAGAGGGCCTTCTCGGTAGTGGCACCCGCCCTATGGAACGCCCTCCACCATATGTCAAAGAGAAAAACAACTATCAGACTTCTAGAAGTCATCTGAAGGTAGCCCTGTTTAGGGAAGCTTTAAATGTTTAATAGACTACTGTATTTTAATATGCTAAAGAATGCTCCAACTACCGCACAATTGCACTCATTTCACACGCTAGCAAGGTTATGCTTAAAATTCTGCAAGGAAGGCTCAAGCAGTATGTGGACCGAGAACTCCCAGAAGTGCAAGCTGGATTTAGAAGAGGCAGAGGAACCAGAGACCAAATTGCAAACATGCGCTGAGAAAGCTAGAGAGTTCCAGAAAGACATCTACTTCTGCTTCATTGACTATGCAAAAGCCTTTGACTATGTCGACCACAGCAAACTATGGCAAGTTCTTAAAGAAATGGGAGTGCCTGATCACCTCATCTGTCTCCTGAGAAATCTCTACATGGGACAAGAAGCTACAGGTAGAACTGGATATGGAACACCTGATTGGTTCAAAATTGGAAAAGGAGTACGACAAGGCTGTATATTGTCCCCCTGCTTATTTAACTTATATGCAGAATTCATCATGTGAAAGGCTGGGCTGGATGAATCCCAAGCTGGAATTAAGATCGCCGGAAGAAATATCAACAACCTCAGATACGCAGATGACACAACCTTGATGGCAGAAAGTGAGGAGGAATTAAAGGACCTTTTTAATGAGGGTGAAAGAGGAGAGCGCAAAATACGGTCTGAAGCTCAACATCAAAAAAACAAAGATCATGGCCACTGGGCCCATCACCTCCTGGCAAATAGAAGGAGAAGAAATGGAGGCAGTGAGAGATTTTACTTTCTTGGGCTCCATGATAACGGCAGATGGTGACAGCAGCCACGAAATTAAAAGACGCCTGCTTCTTGGGAGGAAAGCAATGACAAACCTAGACAGCATATTAAAAAGTAGAGACATCACCTTGCCAACAAAGGTCCGTATAGTAAAAGCCATGGTCTTCCCAGTAGTGATGTATGGAAGTGAGAGCTGGACCATAAAGAAGGCTGATCGCCGAAGAATTGATGCTTTTGAATTATGGTGCTGGAGGAGACTCTTGAGAGTCCCATGGACTGCAAGAAGATCAAACCTCTCCATTCTTAAGGAAATCAGCCCTGAGTGTTCACTGGAAGGACAGATCGTGAAGCTGAGGCTCCAAGACTTTGGCCACCTCATGAGAAGAGAAGACTCCCTGGAAAAGACCCTGATGTTGGGAAAGATGGAGGGCACAAGGAGAAGGGGACGACAGAGGATGAGATGGCTGGACAGTGTTCTCGAAGCTACAAACATGAGTCTGACCAAACTGCGGGAGGCAGTGGAAGACAGGAATGCCTGGCATGCTCTGGTCCATGGAGTCACGAAGAGTCGGACACGACTAAACGACTAAACAACAACAACAAAATTTTAATATTGTGTTGGAAGCCGCCCAGAGTGGCTGGGGAAACCCAGCTAGGTGGGCGGGGTATAAATACTATATTATTATTATTATTATTTCAGTTGGTGCCCCTTGTCTTTAATCAATGGGGGGTTCCAGCTTCCAGTCGCTCTTTGCGTTCAGCGGCAAAAGGTCTCTCCCCACCCCCACCCCGCCTTCCACGCGTCAGGGGTTGCACATCTGAAAGTGCGCACAAGCGAGCCGCGTGTCGCTGGGACCATGTTTAACGCCGATTCAGGGGAGGGAGCGCAGGAAGCAGCACCACTAATTCATTCCCACGGCGCTGCCTATCTGCTCCAAATTCCCTCCACCCGCACACGAAAGAAGGAAAGAGAGAGAGAGAGGAGGGAAGTTCAGAAGATTCTTGGGAATCTTATTTTTTTATAGAATATGCTGTGGTGTGAGTGTAAATTTTAACATGGAAAATCAAATAAATCTGTAGAAAGGAGGAAAGGAAGGAAGGAAGGAAGGGGTGAAATGATAAATGGGATGGGGGTCTCTCCTGCTGCTCTGGGGCCCCACGAACTCCCAATAGGTTAACAATCCACCTCCCCTTTCTTTGCATTGCATTCACTGGGTGGCGTAATAATAATAATATTTTTTTATTATTTATATACTGCCACCCCAGCCAAAGCCGGGCTCAGAGCGGCTAAGGACTGTAAAAATAACACAGTTTACATAAAATCACAATCAGTTAATTGAAATACATTCTAAAATCAATTCATTCTAAAATCAATTCCAAATCAAATTAATGGCAACCATTGGGCTAGAGTAGGAACCTGTGTATCCCCCCAGGGGGGTTTCCAGCCCCCCACCCCACCCCAGCTGTCATTTTCCTGCCTGACCCCTCCCCCGACCATGCACCCTCCCCCACAGCCCTGGGGCTCCCCTTCACCCAAATGCACAAACAATGTGCATGCCCCCCCGCCCCGCCCCGCCCCCGCTCACCAGATCCCAGAAGGGACCACCCACGCAGCTCTTGCAAGAGACAGATGAACCGGGCAGGAAAGCAGAGGGGAGGAGGCCCCCTCCACAAACACCCCCATCCTCCTCCTCCCACTGCCTTCCCGTCTAGGCATCCTGCTCCGTTCACTTTAACCCTTAGAAGGTTAGGCGCAGGAAGAATCGTAGAGTTGGAAGGGATCCCCCGGGGTCATCCAGCCCAACCCTGCCCAATGCAAGAATCTTTTGCCCAGCGCGGGACTCGAACCCAAGACTCTCCTGCTCTAGCGACTGAGCTGTCCCACCCCACCCCCCTTCCCAAAACAGTGCCTGAGCCTCCCAGGTGCACGTTTCTTCAGGTTTCATCCAGCGCCTCTGGATCATCCGTGCAAAAAAATAAAAATAAAGAGGGGGGGTGCCAAAGAGGTTTGGGGGCCGAGCCTTGCGCGTGATGCTCCTGCCCTGCACCGCATGACCGGAAGTGTGGGCTACTCGCCTCTCCCCCCCCTCTACGATCAGCTGCATATGGGAGCCTATCTGCTCTGCTCATAGTGAAATGGGTTTGGCAGCGAGGAGACGCAGGGAGCAAAGAGTTAGAGGTGGGGAAAGACCGGGGTTTTTGCTTTGTGTAAAGTGTTGCAGGAATTTATGTATAGGTTGGGGGGGGGATTGCCCCTCTAACAGATATCATGCACATGCAGCCCACTACCAAAATCAGCACAATCGCTTTTGTGACTTTTGTGATTTGTCCCTACAAAACACTTCATCACAGTTTCTTCCCATCTATTCAAAGGGCCTTTGCTGCACGATACCAAATGTAAGAATTCACTGATAAATGTATCTATGTACTGGCTCACTGGGAAAACTTCAGAAATTCATATAGACATGTGAGCTCAGCTCCTCAGCAGCCCCTCTGCCTGAGTGATAATCCCTGGATCCTGATACCTGAGTGCCAGACAGGTACCCATTCCAGAAATAACAAATCCAGATGAAGACAAAAGGGTGTGATTAACTTGGCTGGGAAACAGGGAAATGTAAATATCTCGTTACACTTGATGGGTGTTTGGTGGAGGGCAAGGGGAACCATGGGGCAGGGTCCAGGATGCTCAGATTACTGCCACCAGACCTTCCCTTTCATGATGTAACCGTGATGTATGAGTGATGTAGTTTGGGGGCGGGTGTAACATGGGGATTATAGGGATGCGGGTGGCGCTGTGGGTTAAACCACAGACCCTAGGACTTGCTGATCAGAAGGTCGGTGGTTCGAATCAAGTAGATAAATAGGTACCGTTCCGGCGGGAAGGTAAATGGCGTTTCCGTGTCCTGCTCTGGTTCGCCAGAAGCGGCTTAGTCCTGCTGGCCACATGACCCGGAAGCTGTATGCCGGCTCCCTTGGCCAATAAAGCGAGATGAGCGCCGCAACCCCAGAGTCGGCCACGACTGGACCTAATGGTCAGGGGTCCCTTTACCTTTACCTAACATGGGGATTAGCAGCTAATAAAAGTTTGGGGGCTCTTTTTTTCAGGGCTTCCATCTTGTTCCACCTCGTGGCAGGTGGGAGTCCTGTTGCGACAGCCTTCCATAAAGACCAAGCCTACTGGCTGCTGTTTTGCTCTGGTATTCCTGGCTGGTGTCCTTGTTTTTTTTGTCCAAGGGAGCCCTCAGATTTCTCCGTTAACAAAAGCAAGGTGTGAAAAAGATGGAGGAACCCTCCGCGCTCCCATTGCAAAACATCTGAGGGCTTATGATAATAAGAATTTATAATAAGAAGAATTTATTATTTATACCCCGCCCATCTGGCTGGGTTTCCCCAGCCACGCTCTCCTCCGCAGACTGACGCAAAGTGGTACCCAAACTTCATTTAGCAGGGCATCCCCACCTTCAAGCCTTCCCTCTTTCTGTGGGGGTGCTGACCTTGTTCAAAGGAAGAAGCAGCAGCCTTGAAGGGCATCGTCCCACTTCCCTGTCACCTCCCTGTATTTGAAGAACACACAGCAGCAGAACAGAAGAAAGTCTGGATGTAAGTGGGGGGGGGGCAGCGAGAAAATAAGGGTCACTTTTGTTTTCTCACTGCCCTAGACCCAGACTTACGCTCAGTGCTTTGTGGAGCACAGGGAGGCCGAATGGTGTCAAGCAGCCGGCTGTCTGGTGCTTGAGAGAAACCACGATCGATATCAGGCGATTCGACAAGTGAATTGCCTTGCCCTCCTATGGAAGTTGGCCAACAGGGCTGGAGACAGATAACTATCTGGCTTACCAGCCCACACAGAATTTCCCACCCTGAAAGAGCAACGGACACATGAAAACAAAAGGGACCCTCTTCTGGGGAGCTTCCAACTTACAATTTTGACCCTGTAGGGAAAGGTCTATGAAACATAGCACCAAGAGAGATTGGAGCAGAAAGAGATGAAAAAGGAAAAGGCCTTTTGACCTCCCTGCGTTCAGATTTGACAGGTGTCACTGCAGGCGTCTCCAGCCCCTTCCCTCCATGCTGAAGTGCGAGGACAGGCAACAAAAACACAGTTTAAGACATTTATTTCACTTATGTATACGAAAAGCTCTATCCTGTTTTTCTAGCACCAACATACCATGCAGAGCATCCTTTCCTTGTTTTACACAGCTGTGTCCAGTACTGTAAATATACATTTCTTCTTCTTTTAGATGCTTTCAGAAAGAGAAACGAAGCATTTCTTAAAGAGGTTTGCAACCCAAAGTCCACTTAGATGAGAAAATGCACCCAGCTCCTCCCAACGCCAGAGTTACGCTTGTTCAATGATATCCCAAATCTCTCCCTATCCCCGTTCCTCCACCCATCAGTTGCAGGAGTGAAACAAAGTTTGACTCTTCCTGCTAGGACCACCCTGGGCATCCATCACATGATATGTTTGCTTGCTTGCTTGTGTGTCAGTATCTACACACACTAGCAGAAAGGAACTGGCGTTGCTCAGGAAGTCTAACAAACCAAAAAATACTGAATTCATACATGGATAATGTAACTTGTTTGCTCCTAGGGCTGCACCCCTCACCCTAACCAGGGGGACACCCAACCAGGATCTGGCCCCAAATCAATTTGGGGTCAGGGTTAATGTTTAATTGGGGATTTAAAAAAACCCTATATGGTCAGGGGTGGGGCAGAGAGCCTTGAAATCATGAATTCATACGGTAATGCTTTCCACAATCACAGAATTCACACGCTTTTCCACTGAGTGAATTATCTGATGATAAGTAAGAGTTATAGTCTATCTGAAGCTCTTTCCACACTCCAGGTACTTATATGTTTTTGCCCCTGAGTGAATTCTTTCATGACGATGGAGGTATGCCCTTGTATCGAAGCCGTTCCCACGTTGCACTGGTATGGTTTCTCCTGCGTGTGAATTCTTTGATGAGAAGTGAGGTCCCTGCTCAGACAGAAGCACTTTCCACACACCAAGCACTGATACGGTTTCTCCCCTGTGTGAATTCCTTGATGATAGGTGAGATTTGCCTTTTGTGTGAAGCCCTTTCCACATTCCAAGCACTGATACGGTTTCTCCCCAGTATGAACTCTCTGATGAGCAGTAAGAATCGTCTTCTGTGTGAAGCACTTCCCACATTCCAGGCATTTGTACGGTTTCTCCCCTGTGTGAACTCTTTGATGGCGAATGAGGTCTTTGTTCAGGCAGAAACCCTTCCCGCACTCTGAGCATTTATATGGTTTGTCTCCGGTATGAATTTTTTGATGAGAAGTGAGGCTCGTCTTTTGCATGAAGCTCTTTCCACACTCCAGGCATTTATGTGGTTTCTCCCCGGAGTGAGTTCTTTGGTGATAAGTGAGATCGCACTTCCGAATGAAGCTCTTTCTGCACTCCAAACATTCGTACGGTTTCTCCCCGGTGTGAATTCTTTGGTGGTAAGTAAGAGTTAAATTCTGCCTGAAGCTCTTTCCGCACTCCAGGCACTGATATGGTTTCTCCCCTGTGTGAATTGTCTGATGACAGGTGAGATTCCTCTTCTGAGTGAAGCTCATTCCACACACTAAGCATTGATATGGTTTCTCCCCTGTGTGAGTTCTCTGATGATCAGTGAGCTTCGTCCTGCTGCTGAAGAACTTTCCACACTCCAAACACTGATAGGGTTTCTCTTCTCTGTGAATTCTCTGATGATTAGTGAGAGTTCTGTTTTGTCCAAAGCTCTTCACGCACTCCAAGGGTGCATAGGTTTTCTCCACTGTGTGAATTTTCTGATGAGTTTGATAAGTGAAACTTTTGTTCTCATGAAAAGCCTTTTCACACTCTAAGCACCGATATGGTTCCTCCCCTGTGTGAATTATCTGATGTGAAGTCCTGTTCGGATGGAAACTCTTTCCACACTCCAGGCACTGATAAGGTTTCTCCCCAATATGGATGCTTTGATGTGTAGCAAGATCAGAACTATGATGAAGGTCCTTTCCGCGTGCTGTAATGAAAACAGGAAAATGAGGTAGAAAAAGAGCTTGAAATCCTTTTGTGACAGACCACATATAGGTGGTTATATTCTGATGACAGAAACCACCAAGACAAGATGGAAGAGCCAGAGTTTTTGATTCTAAAGGAGAGTGTCAATTTAGTGGGTGTGACATGGTGGAATTGAGAGAACAGGGAGGGACATAATTTGCAGAAGACATGCTAATGCAGTTTCTTTAAAAAGAAAAAACAAGGTTAACATTTAACAAAACAAAACCCTATTTTTAAGGAAGGAATTGTCAAAATTTGAAAATCTATTGTGCATCAGGGCAAGACATAGAAAATAATTCACCAGTTTGAACTGTTGTGCTAAGTTCCATGAATATACAACAGGATTTTTCATGGGCACTTGGGAAATTATTAAATTCATCAGTTTTAAAAAAATCTAATGTCATTATTAAAGCTTCTTTGCAAATATGGATTATGTGTACAGATATGCCCATATATCTCTCTCACTTTTACAAACTGTTGTTTTGATTGTGTTCTGGTTTTAATTGTTCATATTGAGGTCCAAGCATTGTTAGCCAACTTGTAGATTTCTGTTCAATGGAAAGGGGGGGATATAAATGTTTCGATAAAGAAAAATAGATAAATCCTGCTCTATTGAAAGAAGGGGGACGCAGGGTGAGCTCCCGTTGCTCAGTCTCTGCTCCTGCCAACCTAGCAGTTCGAAAGCATGTCAAAGTGCTCTGGCGGGAAGGTAAATGGCGTTTCCGTGTGCTGCTCTGGTTCGCCAGAAGTGGCTTAGTCATGCTGGCCACATGACCCGGAAGCTGTACGCCGGCTCCCTCGGCCATAAAGTGAGATGAGCGCCGCAACCCCAGAGTCGGCCATGACTGGACCTAATGGTCAGGGGTCCCTTTACCCTTTACTTTATGGAAAGAAGGAGGTACTAAATTGTTGGGATTCTGCAAAACAGAAGCAGCAGCTAAAATTCATATATAATTTCTAAAGAAATATTATAATCCAGGGAAATATACTTTTACTGAGAGAGGCCACGATCCCACAGTTCTCCTCCATGACTTCTTTGTGTAGAGCTCTTTGGTCAGGATCCAGCAGAACCCACTCCTCTGCCGTGAAACACACAGCCACATCCTCAAACGATGCTGGGTCCTGAAAGAAAAGCAAATATTTCCCCCTTTATAGATAACACCACCCCAATTCATAAAACTCACCAATGCTGCCTACCTGCAACCCCTGCATCCACAGCCTTCCTGTTGGGCAACTTCCTTGACCCCATAACTTCCCTCCCCCTTTAAATGCCAAAATACAGACACACCCTGACTACCTCCTGGCAGCCCCATTGGTCCTTCCCCTTACCTGGTCCGTTGCCACAGCAACCGCTTCCCTTCCACCAGAAAGAAATGGATGGTTAAGTCTCGCTGGCATCATTCCATCGCCTGTGAGAGACAAAGGTGGAGGACAGAGATCAGAATGGGCTTGTCTCAGAGGTTAAGTGGCCCATGTCTAAGCACCCCCTTGACATTACAAAATGTCATGTATATTACAAATGTCATGTATATTACAAAATGTCATGTATATTACAAAATGTCGTGTATATTACAAAATGTCATGTACATTATAATCTGTCATGTATATTTCGTTATATAGACGCTTTCCTTTTCAGTACAGTCAAACCTCGGTTCCCAAACGCCTCCGTTTCGGAACATTTCAGCTCCCAAATGCCAAAAACCCGGAAGTGTTCTGGTTTTCAAACGTTTTTCAGAAGCCAAACGTCTGAAGCGGCTTCCGCTGGAGTGCAGGAATCTCATGCAGCCAATCAGAAACCGTGCCTCGATTATCAAACATTTCGGAAGCCAAATGGGACGGATTACATTTGACAACCGAGGTTTGACGGTACTGTGCAAAGACATCTCTCCCCAGCTGGGATCTTGGCAAAGTACAAGTTGGCTTCCATGTGTTCAAGTGCTGAAAATAAACATCACATTGAACTGTGGAAAAGGACCAGAAGGAAGTGTATCTCGCCCCCCTGCACGAGCACGCACACACACACACACACACACACACACAGCAGAGTCAGGAGAACACAGAAGGATTTCTTGGATTTCTTCCATAACACTGGGGAACAATTTTTTTCCCATTTTCTGTTGCATGAGATTTTTCAACTGTTCTTATATGTTCTTTCAATGCTGATTTCAAATCTGAAATCGATTTTCGTGTGCATGCTATAGTTATCTTGCAGTTTCCGACTTTTGCCGATATGTCATATTTACACTGGGGATAAGTGCACACTGATACGTTGATCTACCCTAACCACATGGTAATTATTGTTTTGCAAACTTAATTTTCATTTATTTTTATAGTTTTGTAACCTAACCTAACCTAACCTAAATATTTGTATTTTTCAGATTGGACCATATAAGAACATATAAGAACAGTTGAAAAATCTCATGCAAAACAAAAAGGAAAAAAAAAATGTTCCCCAGTATCCCAAGGGAATACATTTTTTTGCATACCTCCAACTGTACATAGATATACATGTCATTTTCAATGCGATACATGTCATGTTCAATGCTATATAAGTCACTTACATTTATACTCATATTGTACTACTTTGGCTATGTGTTTAATAAAATACTGAATTCTTGCGTTGTGAAAGATTATGGTGAAAAGTGAAAAACAGGAATTGCAAAAAAACTGGAGCTTACAGAACAAAACCAACTTCTGATATGAAATCAGCACGTCAAAATCAGGTTAGAACAACTGCAGGTGTCAATGCAACAAAAAAATTGTTTCCCAATGATTAATGGAAGGAGACCAAGTTCATGTTCATGCTCCATTACCCAGCAAGATGGCGCCTCCCTCCTTCTCCTCCTGAACCTTCCACCTTTGCAGGGGAATCTCTCTGATGTTCTCTGGAGCCTTCACAGCATCAAGGAAATCAGTGGCTACTTCTGTTAACAGACCCTTAACCGGAAAGAGGGAACGGGGGGAGGATGAGAAAAGGAGCGTTAGCGGCAAAGGCTTTGGCGTTTGGGACATTTTCAGAACATAGCTGTCAACTTACAGATTTGAAAATAAGGGATTTTGCTTAGCTTATACAGAAATCCGCCACTGATGGAGCCATGCTGCTTTGGCTGCCACTGACTGTGTTTTGCAGGGGATTGGACTAGATGATCCTAAGGGTCTACAACTCCGACCAAAGAAGAGGGGCAGACAAAACTGATGAACGATGTTGAGATGGCAAAGCTTACAGGCAGAATTAGAAACCAGGAAGAGGACCTCTTTCATAAAGAATGGGGAAAGTTTATAATTTAGTTGAAAAGCTATTGTAAAGAGTTACATACATTGGTAGGATTGACGGAAAACTTGTAGTAAAAATTTGAACTATGGATGGACAAATGGACAAATGATCAAGAATGTATAACTTGCTGTTGAAATGGAATACACAAGATGAAACGGTTAAATCTGTTATGATTAAATGGGCACAAGACTTTGGACATAACATTATGTTTGCTGACTGGGAACAGTTATGGACCACAGGTATGAAATTTACGGCTTGTAATGCCTTAAGAGAAAATATAATGAAAATGATTTACAGGTGGTACTTAACCCCAGCCCAGCTAGCAAAAATTTACCATTTGTCAGATAGTAAATGTTGGAAATGTAAAGAGACTGAGGGCACATTTTTTCACCTTTGGTGGACATGCCCAAGGATTAAGGCTTTCTGGGAAATGATATATAATGAATTGAAAAAGGTATTTAAATATACCTTTCTGAAGAAACCAGAGGCCTTTCTTCTGGGCATGGTCGGCCAATTGGTGCGAAGGGAGGATAGAACTTTTTTTATGTATGCTACAACAGCAGCAAGAATACTCATCGGAAAGTACTGGAAGACACAAGAATTACCCACCCGAGAAGAATGGCAGATGAAAATGATGGACTACATGGAACTGGCTGAGATGACTGGCAGAATTCGAGACCAGGGAGAAGGGTCGATGGAAGAAGATTGGAAAAAATTTAAAATATACCTTCAAAAATATTGTAATATAAAAGACTGTTAGAAAGATGTTGGAAAAAGAAAATTAGGTCGTTTTGGTAGATATGATATAAAGGATTAAGCAAAAATGAGTTGATGAAATTGATGAAACAGAGGATGTTTAATTACATTATTTTAAATTAAAATACGTAAATGAAAATAAGGTTAGAAGGATTTGCTGGAAATACGATCTGAACTAGAATACAAAATTGGGAGGTGAGAGGATGTCATGGAAATAAGTAAAGGGAAAAGGTTACGTAAAGGTTTAATCTGTTTTTGTTCTATTCTAACTCAATGCATTTTTATATTTTTTGTTTCGTCTTCTTTTTTATTCTATTTTATTGTTCACTTTTTTCTTGTTATTTCTCGCTTTGCTATGGTTAAATTTTTCTTTGTATTTTGTATTGTTTTTCTTTTTTGTTTTTGTAATTTTAAACTTGGAATAAATATCATTTAAAAAAAAATGGATGGACAAATGATTTATAAAAATAGAGTTATGAAAGGGATGCAGAGGGGGAAATCACTACATTAAGATGCTGCACTGGTTGGAGGGTATGCTAAATAGCACGTCGGGGCTGCCGTCGTTCTGGCATGAGGAGTTCCATCGGCCCTTCCCTGCCCAAGAGAGAGGGAGGGAGAGAGACTCTTGCCCATACCGCCCGTGAGCCCGGCATGAGGCGGTTGTGGCGCTGTGGCCGCCGCTGAAGCGCCGCCCTTCTGCGTCCCTCCCCATCCCCTCCTCTTCCTCCTCCGCCAGGGCGCCTCCTCAGCCGCCGCTGCCGCCTCCGGCTTCCCCTGGCAGCGCGGCAGAAGTCTTGCAAGAGAGGGGCTGCCCGCCCGCCCGCCGCCACCCGTCTCCTCACGACGCGCCCCTGAGGGGGAAAAGGGAGAGACGGAGACGCGTCAGCTCGTGCACGCTCTCTCTCGCGCGGCGGAGGACCCCGAGCCGCTGCTTCCCTCCCGAGCCGGGCAAGCATGAAACCTGGGAAATTTAAGGGACATCATCAATAAGGGACAGCAGTGGGACATGGCGCTGGGATAAGGGAGTTTCCCGCCAAATAAGGGACGGTTGAGAGCTATGTTTCAGAAAGGATTTGAAAAATATAGGTAGTTTTGGGATTTTCTGCTTCACGTTCCTCAGCCCTTTCAAACCACCAGAACAAAACTTTTTCAAACCTGCAGCTCTTTCTGCTTCTTGTCCTCTGCTCGGCTCAGGAGGAAACCTTCGGCCAGGGCCACCGCCTGGGAACAGGTCTCTGCTCCACATTCCCTGACCCAGTTCTCCATCTCCGGGGGGAGGACAGCCAGGAACTGCTCCAGGATCACCAGGTCCAGGATCTGAGTCTTAGAGTGAAGCTGTGGCTTCAGCCACCGACGGCAGAAGTCATGAAGCAGGTTGCAAACCTCTCGGGGGCCCTCGGCCTCCTGGTAGTGGAACCGCCTAAAACGTTGGCGCTGAGCGTCTGAGCTGAGGGCGTCCTCCGCACCCAGGATATTCTGCACGGTTCTTTCCCAGAATCCCTCACTCCTCCCAACCCGGGTGGTGTCAAGGCCAGCTGTGGCTTGTCCATCCATGTTGGGTCTGTGCTCCAAGGAATCCTCTGGCTCTCCTCTCTTCTTCCAATCTGCCTTTTCAAGGCAAAAGCTGCCCTGATTCAAGGTACAACCAAGCCCTGCAAAGTGAAGAAAATGGCTTGTTAGAGAATCATTGAATTGTTACGGCTAGAAGCTTTCCGTTCACCAAAGCTGGACGAGTCTGGCTACGAAGCAGCTCTTTGGACTAACAGATGGACAACAAACATGGGTTCTCCAAGTCCTTATGGGGCTAAGTTACTGCAAGGCTGAATGGAGGAAGACTCAACATCTAACACCCAGTGGCCTGAAGATCTCACTGCTCTTTCTACATCTGACTGCATGGCTTATAATAGTCACTTTCATTTAGATATCTATTTGGGCATTTGGACTGCTTATATTTATGTATAAATAAATATTTATATTAACGTATCTACGGGACCACCTCTCCTGGTATGCCCCGCAGAGGACCTTAAGGTCCATGAATAACCATAGTTTAGAGGTCCCGGGCCCTAAAGAATTTAGACTATCCTCCACCAGGGCCAGGGCCTTTTCAGTGATGGCTCCAACCTGGTGGAATGCTCTGTCCCATGAGACTAAGACTCTTCAGGATTTAACCTCCTTCTGTCGGGCCTGTAAGACAGAGCTATTCCGCCTGACCTTTAATTTGAATTCAGCCTGATCTTTTGTTTCCTTTCCCTTCCCTCCCCCTCCCCTTTTATGAAGATTACCCACTCTGAGACCCCACAGCTAGTTCTCCCCTGGCCTCCTCGCTGGCCCAAGTAGGACCAATTCAGCCAGCTAGCCCTAAATTGATTTTTGAATTTTATTGTTATTCATATTTTATGCTGCTTTTATAATTAAGTGTCTTAAATTTGTTGTTAGCCGCCCTGAGCCTGGTTTTCTGAACTGGGAAGGGTGGGGTATAAAAATTATTATTATTATTATTATTATTATTATTATTATTATTATTATGTCTCTCCCATATCAGTCTCTAGAGGTGAGGGGAGACAGATTTTCAGTTCCTCATCAGGCAATGGCGTTTCCTCCTGCCTTGCCCCACTTAGCCTTTCTCAGACTATGACTTTGAGAGCAGCAGCAGCAGCAGCAGCAGCAACAGGGAATATTTCATTCATTCAGAGATTATTATTGTTTAAAAAATAGTTTCATAAGTTGTGCTTCTTTGTTTCTCAGTTTGATCCTTTACATGGTTTTGTATGTTTTGTGGTATTTTACGCATTGTGATTTGCTGTTACTTTTATTGATTATATATTGGTAATTCTTTATTGTAGTTGAACTGCTTAATTATTACTTGCTGATGTTTCCTATTAGATTCTGTTGGATTGTTGAATGTTGCTTTGTTTCATATAAGTTATTGGCTGCAGGAGCTTCCTGCAGCCAATCAGAAGCAGCGCTTTGTTTTCCAAACTTTTTGGAAGTCGAATGGACTTCCGGAACGGATTCCATTTGACTTCCGAGGTATGACCGTACTGGGGATTAGAGGGCAGTTATGTCACGTGAGGGCTCTGGATTAAAGCCTTCCATGCCCTTGGGAATCAGAGGATCCTGTATCCATCCCTCTCTCCAGTCCATCCCTTATGGCTCTCAGCCTTCCACTGATTCCCATCCCCACCCCTTCTCTTTAATCCTCACTGCGTAATCCATAAACCACTCGCACACAAGCTGTTTACTTCCCACTGGTACCTGCTGCCTTAGATTAAAAAGGGTTCCCATTTTCAGCTGTGCTTCTGTACTCCGGGACAAAAAAAAAGTTCCCCTGCACGGGTTATGTGCTGCACGTCTGAAAGCGCACACCAACACACACGAGTGTCCACCGTGCCTGGAGACCCTCCCAGTGTCCCTATTTTCCAGGGATTTACTTACAGAAGCCACCCTGGTTTCTGATTTGATCTCTGAATGTCTCGCTTTTCCCTGGGACCTCCCTATTTTCATCAGGGAAATGCTAGAAGGTATGTAGCTATCCGACCCCCCCCCCCCCAGCCCTGTACAGGGAAGTTTTTTAATGTTTAATAATTTATTATGTTTTTATAAGGGACGCGGGTGGCGCTGTGGGTTAAACCACAGAGCCTGGGACCTGCTGATCAGAAGGTTGGCGGTTCGAATCCCCACAACGGGGTGAGCTGCCATTGCTCGGTCCCTGCTCCTGCCAACCTAGCAGTTCGAAAGCACGTAAAAGTGCAAGTAGATAAATAGGTACCGCTCCGGCGGGAAGGTAAACGGCATTTCCGTGCGCTGCTCTGGTTCGCCAGAAGTGGCTTAGTCATGCTAGACACATGACCCGGAAGCTGTACACCGGCTCCCTCACCCAGTAAAGCGAGATGAGCCCCGCAACCCCAGTCGGTCATGACTGGACCTAATGGTCAGGGTCCCTTTAGCTTTACCTTTATGTTTTTATATATGTTGGAAGCTGCCCAGAATGGCTGGGGCAAACCAGACAGATGGGCGGGGTATAAATCATAGTATGATGATTATGATAATATTATACGAGCAAAGTCCCAACCAAAGAAGAATGGCAACTTAAACTGTTGGAATATGCACAGCTTGCGGATCTAATTTACAGAATAAGAGAACAAGAAGAACATTTGTTTAAAGAAGATTGTAAAATGTTTATTGAATATATGGGGGGGGATTGTGTACACTTGAAAACGTTGGCAGCATCAAGATGAATTCAACAGTGTAAATAAGTTTTGATGGAAGTAATAATGGAATACTGAATGCTTTAGTTTATATAAAATATGCAGGGATTTATGCTATGCAAAATGAACCATGGAAAGAGAAGAAGGGAAGTCACTGATATTTCAAGGTTGTCTAAATGAATATTCAAAGCTGTAAAACAGAAAACTTAATAAAAATTATATTAAAAAGTAAAAATAAAAATGTTGGAGGGTATGTGCCTGACTGTGGTGGCGGTGCAAATCCTAACAGAAGCGCAGCTGATGATTCTCGCCCAGCCCCCCAGCCCAGCCCTGCAGACCTACTTGAAACCTCCCTATGGCATGAAACATCCAAGGGGCCTCTTGCTGGCTGCAGAAAGGAGGGAGAAAGAAGCCCAGATCCCTAAAAGCTTGTGTGCAGGGAAGTTTTTAATGTGTGACATTTTAATGTATTTTTAATCTTTGTTGGAACCCACCCAGAGTGGCTGGGGAAGCCCAGCCAGATGGGCGGGGTACAAATTTATTATTATTATTATTATTATTATTATTATTATGTGTTGTGTTGGGCAAATCCCAGGTGAATCTGCTGCAGAGGCTGCCTCCCTATGGGGTAAAGTGGGGCCAGGGTTTGGCTCCCTACACACTCTCAGCCGGCTACCCCTAACCCCCCCACCCCACATTTTCTCCCCATTCAAAGCCTGGGATCCCGGAATCTCCCCCTCCTCACCCCTCCCTTTCAGGTCCTCCTAGGCACCCACCCCTGCAGCCCAGGGACCCCTACCCTTCAAATAGACAATTGGGGGGGGGGCGGCTCACCAGATCCCAGGTGGGGCCACCGATGCAGCGCTTGGGGGAGACAGAAGAAGCTTCCCTACAGGAGAGGTGGGTTGGTGGGGGGTGGAGATGCACTTCCGGTATGAGACCACCCTCCCCTTTCTCTCTAGGAATCCTCTCCACTTCCCCTTCCTCTCTAGGAATCCTCTCTACTTCCCCATCCTCTCTAGGAATCCTCTCTACTTCCCCTTCCTCTCTAGGAATCCAGCTCAAGTTCATTTTAACCCTTTAGGATGTTCAGCAGCCTCTTGAAGCCTCTTGATCAGGGGTCAGCAACCTTTTTCAGCTGCGGGCCGGTCCACTGTCCCTCAGACCATATGGGGGGCTGGATTATATTTGGGGGGGGGATAAACAAATTTCTATGCCCCACAAATAACCCAGAGATGCATTTGAAAGAAAAAGACACAATCTACTCATGTAAAAACACGCTGATTCCCAGACCATCCGCAGGCCGGATTTAGAAGGCGATGGGGCCGCATCCGGCCCCCGGAGCTTAGGTTGCCTACCCCTGCTCTTGATCCTTTGTTGCTGGGCGGGGGGTTATAAACAACAACAACAACAACAACAACTTTCATTTATACCCTGCCCTCCCCGGCCAGAGCCGGGCTCAGGGTGGCTAACACCAATATAATCACAGTAAAAACATAATGGGGGGGGGAACCAATTTAAAATACAGGTTAAAATGCAATTTAAAATGAAGCCTCATTTTAAAAGTAGCCGATAGATCAAGACCATAAGGGGAGGGCAACATAAGGGTCAGACCAAACCAAAGGCCAGGCGGAACAGCTCTGTCTTGCAGGCCCTGCGGAAAGATGTCAAGTCCCGCAGGGCCCTGGTCTCGTAACATAGCGCTCCACCAAGTTGGGGCCAGTACTGAAAAGGCCCTGGCTCTAGTTGAGACCAATCTAACCACCTTGCGACCTGGGACCTCCAAAATGTTGTCATTTGTGGACCTTAAGGTCCTCCGTGGGGCATACCAGGAGAGGCGGTCCCGTGTTACGGTTTTGCTGTGTTGCAACCCGTGTTTTTCCAAAGCTGAGCTGCACCATTTCCTCTCCCTTGGGAGCTTGTGGACTCTCCTCCCTGGGAGGTCAAAACAGAGGCTGGATGGGCATCTCAATTTGAGTTGCCATTGCTGCCTTGCAGGGGGTTGGACTAGATGACCCCCGGGATCCCTTCCACCACTTAAGATTTATCCAAGGGAGTTGCAACTTGGAAGCCCTTAATTCAGAGCATCCTCCCCAAATCACACGGATATCCTGTTGTTGTTAGTACCTGCAGTATCTGGATTGCCCCAGTCACTTTGGGCGGCTTCCAACATATACAAAAACGTAATACTGTACAGTGGTACCTTGGTTCTCAAACTTAATTCGTTCTGGAAGTCTGTTCCAAAACCAAAGCCTAAGTTATAATTAGAAAAATCTTGATAATTATTCATAAAAGAAACATTTTATAAGTAGTAAATAAGGAGGCCAGATACAGGATAAAGGAAGTCTTTTATTTGTTTTTTGTATTGTTCTATGTGCTCCATGATCACTGCAGATGGTGACAGCAGCCACGAAATTAAAAGATGCCTGCTTCTTGGGAGAAAAGCAATGACAAACCTAGACAGCATCTTAAAAAGCAGAGACATCACCTTGCCAACAAAGGTCCGTATAGTTAAAGCTATGGTTTTCCCAGTAGTGATGTATAGAAGTGAGAGCTGGACCATAAAGAAGGCTGATCGCCGAAGAATTGATGCTTTTGAATTATGGTGCTGGAGGAGACTCTTGAGAGTCCCATGGACTGCAAGATCAAAGCTAGCCATTCTGAAGGAAATAAGCCCTGAGTGCTCACTGGAAGGACAGATCCTGAAGCTGAGACTCCAATACTTTGGCCACCTCATGAGAAGAGAAGACTCCCTGGAAAAGACCCTGATGTTGGGAAAGATGGAGGGCACAAGCATGAGTTTGACCAAACTGTGGGAGGCAGTGGAAGACAGGTGTGCCTGGCGTGCTCTGGTCCATGGGGTCATGAAGAGTCAGACACGACTAAGCGACTAAACAACAACAACATTGTTGTATGTTATGTTCACTGTATGTTATGTTCACGTTTAATGAGGGTGGATTTGTGTATTGGGGAGTAGGGCGTTTGTGTTATGTTGTAAATAAAATTCCAATAAAAATTAAAAAAACAAAACAAAACAAAAGCATTCCATAAGCAAGGCACACTTTCCCATAGAAAGTAATGCAAAATGGATTGATGGTTTGCGCTCTGAGTGAAGCATTTCCCACACTCCAGGCACTTATAGGGTTTCCCCCCTGTGTGGATTCTCTGATGAGAATGAAGGCATTTCTTCCAATTGAAGCTCTTCCCGCACTCCAGGCATTATTTCTCCCCTGTGTGATAATGGACAATTCACAGTCTCTTCCCCCCAACCTACCTCACAAGAACGTTGTGAGGGTAAAATGGAAGAGGTGTGGGTGGGAGACCAATGTCAGCCACCTTGACCTCCTCGTGGAAAGCTGGGCAGTTTAGTTTAGAAAATGTAAGTAGCATAAGGATGGATGAAAACATAAAAGGAATTCCAGTAGGGTGCAAATCATATAAATTGAAAGCATTTGTGGACGACCTGTGGAAGAACTGTGGAAGAACTGTGGAAGAACCCCTGGAAAATATTCCAAGGGTGCTGGGGGGGAAATGATAATTTTGGGCAAGTAGCATAAAAATTGAATAAAAAAGTTGAATAAAAACGAACATATTACTAAAGAATATGTCAGAACAAAAGAAAAATGAATTTAAGTCAAAAACAGACCTGGTAATAGAAAAGAAAGTGAAATATCTAGGGGTGTGGTTAACAACTAGAAATATAAATATTTTTAGATAGAACTATTTAAAGGTCTGGAATGATGTTAAAATGGATATGGAGATATGGGGAAAGAAAAACTTATCGTTGTGGGAAGGGTCTCTGTGATAAAAGTGAATGTATTGCCAATAATGTTGTTTTTATTCCAATCAATACCTGTGGTTAGAGGAGCGGAACACTTTAAGCAATGGAAAAAGGATATTTCTAAATTTATCTGGCAGGGGGAAAGTATAAAGTATAATTATTAACAGATTTAAAACAAAGAGGTGGATTCTCCCTGCTGGCTTTAAAGTTACAGTTAAACAATACTGAAGTATCAGATCTGGAAGGACGTAGTAATAGATTTGGTTAGCATGGTTAATTTGGTTTGAGAAAACAAAGGTGCATAAGGGATTCCTGAACCACATTATAAGGAAATCAATTTACCAAGTATGGGACAAATATAAGAATTTATTAGAGAACAAGACACATTTGTGGCTTTCCCCATTGGAAACCATATCTGTAAAAAAGGTAAACATGAAAGGAAATTGGGCAACATACAAAGATCTGTTAACAGAAGTAGAAAACAAATTAAAGGTGAAAGAATAAGAGGATGTAAGAGCTCTGTTAACATATTGGTTACAATATTGCCAAATAAATGACATATTCAGAGGTGACAAAGAGAAGGGCTTTGGGAAGGAATTCTTAAAGTTCAAAAATGAATTATTAGAAAATAATGAGAAATTGTTATCAAGAATGTACAAACTACTGTTGGAATGGGAGACGAAAGATGAAGAGGTTAAAGCTGTAATGATACACTTGGGCAAAAGACATAGGTTATAATATACCACTTGAATACAGTAATAGGAAAAGCTGTGGAAAGAGATTTTAAAATTCACGGCTTGTAGTTCATTAAAAGAAAATTATATGAAGATGATGTACAGATGGTATTTGACTCCAGTAAAGCTTGCTAAAATGTATAAGGGTATCTCTAACTTACGTTGGAAATTTAAGGATAAGGAAGGAACTATTTTTTTCACATGTGGTGGACGTGTAAAAAAGTAAAGGGCTTCTGGGAAATGATATACAATTAACTTTTTAAAATTCTTAAAATTAAATTTGTTTAAAAAACCCAGAGGCTTTTTTACTAGGTGTAATAGGAGGAGAATTGCCAAGGAAGCAAAGGAGACTATGCGACTACAGCGGCCAGAGGCTACTATCCCAGATGTGGAAAGAAGGGAAGGTCCCAAAGAAAGAAGAATGGATAACTAAGATGACTGACTGCCGAAATGGCTAAACTTTCCGTGAAGATCAGGCACCAAGATGAGAAAAAATTCAGTCTAGAATGGGAAAGCATTATAGACTATTTTAGAGAACACTGTAAAAACGTCAAAACATTAGCAGGTTTGATGTAACATTTATGAACTAAGAATAGAATTAGGAGGGGGGGAAAGAAGTTGGAATTAATTGTAGAAATGTAATTATATGCAAGGAGAATAAAGGGGGGGGAATGGAAACAGGAGGGGGGGCGAGGAAAAGCCATTTATTGCAAATTTGGATTGGATATGTATGTACCAAAAGGGAAAATGTTATTTTGAAAATTGAAAATAAATATATATATATTTTTAAAAATAGTTTAGAAAACTATTGGGGGAGCCCGTGCAGCTGATCCAGCGGGACTTTCCGGAGGCGAGACGAGCGCCTCTCCTCCCTCTTTGCGCGGAGAAGCCCAGAGGCTCCTGCCGCTCGGCTCCGAAACGGTTAAGAGCAGCGGCGAAAGAGCTGAGATTCCTAGAGCGGAGGAAAAAAGGCTGTCGGGAGAATAGCAGCTTCCGCTTCCTGTCCCGCTTGGTGGGGGGGAGAGATGCCGAACATGGCGGCGGCTGTCCTTCCTCGCGGAGGCGCTGGAGGTGCGTCATATTGTTATATATTATAACTGAGGGGGGGACTGGGGGTGCTGCTGGAGGGAGTTGTGGGGAGGGATTAAAAAAAAAACCCTGTTAGGCAAACCGTTTCAATGTAAGTTTTTTTTCTGCGTCTCGTCGTCAGTTTATCCAGATTTTCACGTTATTATTTTTAAAGACCTCTTGAAAATTGGTCAGCATTTTGGTGCAGATTTCTCCTAATGGACACGCATTTGCAAAGGGTATTTCCCCAAATATTTACATTTCCCATAATTAATGCATTCTGTATTTAATTCCGCTAAAATAATGCATTTATAGGGCTTTCCCCCTTTGTATGGGGTAGGACATATTTTCCCAATGGAAGTGTAGCACCCTGCTTGTGGTTAACGCTTAGCTGGAATGAAATATTCAATGCAGCAATAGAGAAATTAAAATAATTATTTGTCAGACAAATAAATGAGAGACACAGTGGTATATGGTTACCAAAGCTCTGCCCACTCCAGCCCTGATGGCCAGCACTTATATTTCCTCAGCCCAGCCCCCTTGCTCCTCCTTTGGCTGCCTCTGTCCAATCAGCCTGGTTGAAATTCCTATTGGCTGTTTGCTAGAACCAATCATAAAAGATACACCCATTTCCTATTACCTTTTATGGGAGACAAAGAGCTATATTTCCTTCTATCCATAAATGGCAGACAAGTAGCCATATATCTTATATTTGCCTCGACCAGGCACCTTAATTACCAGATAACCTTTGGCCCCTGCTGCCCTATTACCCTATTCACTCCAAAACAGATGGCTCATGGTAACAGAGATCTTGGGTTTACCTTCTCACACACCATCAATGAAATAAGAATCTAACATAAGAATCTAACATTTCTTACTTTCTAGATCCTTTGCATAATTACATTTAAGCCAATATATTTCATACATAACATATATAGATTTTTAGAAGAAAAGGCCTTTTCAAAGTAAAAAGAACTTAGTAAAAACAGTTTCCAAAAACAACCCCTTTCAAGCCAGATGCTGTTCCCATTAGCTCTTGCCCTTTAACCTTATGAAAATATGACTCAAGTCTAATGGGAGGCACCTAGTATTATTTTCTGTTAAACAATAAATTTCACTATTTACCAACTCTTAATTAGTGTTTTTTGCAGCTTGATTGTATTCTGTAATTTGTATGGTCACTGTGACCTTTTGCTCCCAGCCTGTAATTTCCTTTTACAACCCTGAGGCACTGCTATAGATCAGAGGGGCCATGTTTAGGAAGATAAACATCTGCCAAAGCACCCAGCCAGCTGCTTTATGCCTGGCATAAAACATACAAACATTTGCAAATATATTTTTTAAGCTCGTTTTAAAATGCAGGCCTTGATCTGATGCCTCAGAAGGGCAGATCTTTCTCCTGCTCTCCTCCCTGCAGGCCAACTTGGGCAGGTGGGGGACCTTCCTTGGGCTCCCCATAGGGCTTGGGGTCAAGGCAAACCCTTAAGCATTGAAAAACCTGCAGGGGCTCCCCCTGGAACTTGTAATCATTTTTATCTGGCCTGATTTTATTATAATTTATTAAAATCGTATACCTCCCTATACCCACAGGCGTTAGGGCAGTTCACAGGATAAAATTGCAATATAAAAACCTCAAAGTACATAATCAAAACATAAACAAAATCAACCCAATAACCCCCCCCCCCAGCAAACCACACACATTTTAAAACATTTGTGTTTAAATTAAATACAGCAGTTTCTGCAAGAGGAGTTCTGGGCAGAAGAGGTTAAAAAAAAAAGGAGAAACAAGCAACTTCAAGTCCACATTAAAATTACAAGCGTGGCTGAGGCCTTACTTAGACAGGCTAATACTATTACTATTACTACTACTAATACCCCTGAGCACCCTCTCCCACCAGTGTCTTGCCTCGGTAATGGACTGGATGAAAGCCAACAAATTGAAGCTCAATCCAGATAAGAGTGAGGCTCAGTTAGTGGGTGGTTCCCTAGAGCAGATGGCTGGAAGGTCGCCTGCTCTTGATGGGGTTACACTTCCTCTGAAGGAGCAGGTTCGTAGCTTGGGGGTTCTCCTGGATCCTTTGCTGTTGCTCGAGGCTCAGATGGCCTGGAGTGCCATCTACCGTTGTCTATGCTCTGGGACCTTCAACGTTAGATATAGATATGCGTTATACGTAGGGCTGCCTCTGAAGACAGTTTGGAAACTTCAGCTAGTGCAGAATTCAGCGGCCAGGTTGCTCACCGGAGTAAGGCTCCTTCGACACGACAAGGCAGTGATCCATGAAGGGATATACACCTTTAAGTGCCATGCAAACATGTTCCTTTTTAACCAGGCTTTTGCTTGATATGTTTGACATCCTATAGTCTTTTTCAAACGTGACTCTTTTTGGGGGGGGGTATTGGGTTGTTGTTTTTATTCTGATTATATATGATGTGATCTTTTCTGCGAACCACGCCGAGTCCTCCAGGTTTAGGGCGGTATATAAACTCAATAAATAATAATACCATATTAATACTTTCATTATTGGTACCCCACGGATCTGACTGGGTTCCCCAGCCACTCTAGCTGGCTTCTAACAAATATAAAAGCATAATAAAACATTTAAAACTTCCCTCTACATGACTGCCTCCAGTTGTCTTCTAAAAGTTATATAGTTGTTTGTTTCCTTGACATCTGACGGGATAGCTTTCCACAGGGTGGGCCCCACTACCAAGAAGGCCCTCCGCCTCGTTCCCTGTAACTTCCCTTCTCACAGGGAGGGAACTGCCACAAGGCCCTGGGACCTGGATCTCTGTGTCCTGACTGAATGTTTGGGGTGAAGACGCTCCTTTAGCATTTCATCAGTTTGCCTTTTATTCCATCAGGAGATGTTGAAGGGATCCTGGTAGAAGGGGAACATTCAGAAGTGTCACCAAAAGGATCCAAAGAGGAGGAGGAGCAAAGGATGCTGGGGGGTCAAGATGGAGGCAGCAGGCAAGAGGGGAGACGAAGCAGAAGCCGGAGGGTGACTCTTGTATGTCTCAGGGTGGTGAAAATCAAATTCCCAGAGAGGAGAAAAAGCATGAATGCACAGTGTGTGGAAAGAGATTGGGTAGTCGCTCAGCTCTTACTTTACATCAAAGAACTCATACAGCGGAGAAACCATATACATGTTCAGAGTGTGGAAAGAGCTTCAGTCAATGTGGTAACCTTACATTGCATCGAAGAACTCATACAGGGGAGAAACCATATACATGTTCAGAGTGTGGAAGGAGCTTCAGTCAATGTGGTAACCTTACATTGCATCAAAGAACTCATACAGGGGAGAAACCGTATACATGTTTAGAGTGTGGAAAGAGCTTCAGTGAACGTGGCCATCTTACTAGGCATCAAAGAACTCATACAGGGGAGAAACCGTATAAATGCTTGGAGTGTGGAAAGAGCTTCAGTCACAGTAGTACCTTTATCTTGCATCAAAGAACTCATACAGGAGAGAAACCGTATAAATGTTTAGAGTGTGGAAAGAGCTTCATTGAACGTGGCCATCTTACTAGGCATCAAAGATCTCATACAGGGGAGAAACCTTATAAATGTTTGGAGTGTGGCAAGAGCTTCTGTCGCGGTAGCCAACTCAGGGTGCATCAAAGAACTCATACCGGGGAGAAACCGTATACTTGTTCAGAGTGTGGAAAGAGCTTCAGTCAATGTGGTCAGCTTACCTCGCATCAAATAACTCATACAGAGGAGAAACCGCATACGTGTTTGGAGTGTGGAATGAGCTTCGCTCGCAGGAATGCGCTTGCTAGACATCAACAAACTCATCGAGGCAGCAAACCTTGTAAATGCTGGGAATGTGGCAAGAGCTTCAGTCGCATCGACTCCCTTTCCTCACATGAAAGAATTCATACAGGGGAGAAACGATATACATGTCTGGAGTGTGGAAAGAGCTTCAGCTATAGTTCCAGCCTTACCTTGCATCAAAGATTGCACACGGGAGAGAAACCTTATAAATGTTTGGAGTGTGGCAAGAGCTTCTGTCGCGGTACCCAACTCAGGTTGCATCAAAGAACTCATACAGGGGAGAAACCGTATACATGTTTAGAGTGTGGAAAGAGCTTCAGTGAACGTGGCCATCTTACTAAGCATCAAAGAACTCATACAGGGGAGAAACCGTATACATGTTCGGAGTGTGGAAGGAGCTTCAGTCACAGTAGTACCTTTATCTTGCATCAAAGAACTCATACAGGGAGGAAATCTTAGAAATGTTTGGTGTATGGAAAGAACTTCAGTGACAGGGGCTCCCTTCCTAAACAATAAAGAACTCGTACAAGAGAAACATCTTAGAAAGGGTTGGCGTGTGGGAAGATCTTTAATCATATCAAATAATTCCTACAGAGAGTAAATCAATGATCGTGTTCTGGTCCCCCCAGGACAGCCATTATTGGATTGGAAGAACTTTCTGACAGTAAGAGCTGTTTTGACAATGGAACAGTCCCCCTCGGGAGGTGGCGGGCTCTCCTTCCTTGGAGGATTTTAAGCAGAGGTGGGATGGGCTTCTGCTATGGATGCTTTAGCCGAGATTACTTCATTGCTGGGGGTTGGACTAGATGACCCTTTTGTTGTTTAGTCGTTTATTCCTGTCTGACTCTTCGTGACCCCATGGACCAGAGCACGCCAGACACTCCTGTCTTCCACCACCTCCCGCAGTTTGGTCAGGCTCATGTTTGTAGCTTCGAGAACACTGTCCAACCATCTTGTCCTCTGTTGTCCCCTTCTCCTTGTGGATTGGAAGAACTTTCTGACAGTAAGAGCTGTTTTGACAATGGAACAGTCCCCCTCGGGAGGTGGCGGGCTCTCCTTCCTTGGAAGATTTTAAGCAGAGGTTAAAATCTTTCCCAACATCAGGGTCTTTTTCAGGGAGTCTTCTCATGAGGTGGCCAAAGTATTGGAGCCTCAGCTTCAGGATCTGTCCTTCCAGTGAGCACTCAGGGCTGATTTCCTTAAGAATGGAGAGGTTTGATCTTCTTGCAGTCCATGGGACTCTCAAGAGTCTCCTCCAGCACCATAATTCAAAAGCATCAATTCTTCGGCGATCAGCCTAGATGACCCTTGGGGTCCCTTATAACTACAGTTCTATGATTCTATATACATCATCTGCTAGACAGCTGTTGTCACAAGCTTGGCAAATCCAGAGATATACTTGATCATCAGATAATGCCAATATTATTCACTTGGACTGTGCTGTTTGAATCCATGTACAATTCTAGGTGCCTATTCTATAGTTTTGCTTTTCATATCCTAATTTTCATCTGCTGTTACTTGTAGCGTTCCCAAAGCAAGGAAGGATTCAGAAGATCAGTAAAGGAAGGAAGGAAGGGTAGTATTCACCATCTCTTTGTGAACTCTCTTCCTGAACTCTCTTCCTGGCCCTAAGATCTATCTAAAGATTAACAAACTACATCAAAGTAACCTATTAATTTTATGGCCTAGGATGCCTGGTGCGGCAACTGGTCTGTGTCCTAGAATGCTTATGCGTGCTTGTCAGACATAGAAAAATGGGCAGTAGAGAAAAATGGCGTAGATGCAGAGGCTTGTGGGATTTGATCAGAAATTTTTGGCAATGAATCAAACCCAGTCAACGCAATGCTTTCATCGCGGACACAATGGCTTGATGCATATTTTATCATTCCTCATAATAATCCCGTCTGATCACTACAGTTATAGCTGCTATCTCTGTTTCATGTGCATCATAAAATGAAACAGAAAAAGCTTTACGAAAATAAAATCTTTATGAATTTTTTTTTTAAAAAACCCTCATGAGTCCCACCTACACTGGAAAAAAATTGTGGGATCTGCTCACATCCCTCATGGTTAGCTTACTGCAATGCATCGTACAAACAGATATCGTAGAAGGTTGGGCCACAGGCTGTAGCTGGTGCAGAACGCAATAGCCAGGTGGCTTGTGTGAGCAAGGTTAAAAAAGGTAAAGGATCCCTGGACAGTTAAGTCCAGTCAAAGGCAGCTATGGGGTTGCAGCGCTCATCTTGCTTTCAGGCCGAGGCAGCTGGCGTTTGTCCACAGACAGCTTTCTGGGTCATGTGGCTAGCAGGACTAAACCACTTCTGGCGCAATGGAACACCGTGACGGAAACCAGAACTCACGAAAACACCGTTTGCCTTCCTGCCACAGTGGTACCTATTTACCTACTAGCGCCGGTGTGCTTTCGAACTGCTAGGTTGGCAGGAGCTGGGGCAGAGCAGCAGGAGCTCACTCCGTCGCACAGATTCGAACCGCCAACCTTGCCATCAGCAAGCCCAAGAGGCTCAGTGGTTTAGACCACAGTGCCATCCACGTCAGGCTTGTGGGAGGAAACTACTGCCAGCATAGAACAGCCTGCTAGTAGGATTGGCACTTGCTACCAATCTGCTACTGGGCTGAGTTCAAGGAGTTTGTACTAACGTGCAAGTCCCTGTTCTGCTCAGTCCCAGATATACAGCAGAGATTCTCCTGCAAGTTCCAAAGATCTCCAAAGCACACACCCAGAATGGGGCTTTTAGTGTCACTGTTTGTGTTCTGTGGAATGGCATCCCTTTTGGGGGGGGGGGAGGGAATTGGGACCTTTTTCAGCTGGATAAATAAATTTTAATAATGGGTGTCCACTTGTTACGGTTTTAGTCTTATTTTTATTTGTTGCCTTTGTGTATATAACTGCTTTTTAAAACATTTTTTATATAAATTGCCTTGAGACGGTGGTTTAGAAGGCAATCAATTATTTTGTAAAAATATTTTTAAAATACTTTTCACATTTATGCATTTCACTTATTTTACAATCATTTTGACATTTCAAGGTTTGACTTCCTTCCTCCTCTTTCTGTGGTTCGTTAAATTTATTTTTAATATCTTCTGCATATCCAAATTAACTTAATTTGCTCATTTATTCATCTTTTTTAAATATATACTGGTATGAAACTGCAGGTTATTACAATAATCCTACCAATGTTTTTATCTGTTTACAATTTATCTGTAAATATTCAATAAACCATTTCCATTCTTTTATTTTTAAAAATGTTATCTTGATTCCTTATTCTTCTGGTAAGTTTCGCCATAGAAGGCAACCATATTTAAGGCAATCAATAAATTATTGTTACAAATAATATGATAATAATTTTTACTTTTTCTACTGGCATCTGACCAGGGTTAATCCTTCTGTGGAATTTTGTTAAATGGGAAAACGGTAGATAAACAGAAGCAGAGTTATAGAAAGAGATATACAGAAGATGTACACAAATAGATAAATCTCGCTGGACCAAAAGAATAAGAATTTTGATGCTGACACACAGTCGTTAAACCCGTTGAGTATTGCCAATTAATTTACTTGCATTTCTGAAAATATATTATCATCAAGCAGAGTAAAAGGGAACCTTACCGAGAGAGGACACGATCCTGCAAATCTCCTTCATAATTTGGCTGTGCAGGGCTCTCTGGTCAGGACCCAGCAGAGCCCATTCCTCTTCAGTGAAACTGAGTCCTGAGAGAGAGAGAAGGCAGGTGGGGAAAATGCTTCCTTGCAAATATCAAAATAGACTGGCCTACAAGCAAAATCCCAAAGCCTTGTTAAGGGGAGGTGAATGGGCATTACCCTCAGAATTAATATACATTGGTACCTTGGTTCTCAAACTTAATCCATTCCGGAGGTCTGTTCCCAAACCAAAGCATTCCAAAACCAAGGCGCGCTTTCCCATAGAAAGTAATGCAAAATGGATTAATCCCTCCCAGACTTCTGAAAACAACCCCTAAAACAGCAATTAAACATGAATTTTACTATCTAACAATACCACTGATCCATAAAATGAAAGCAATAAACAATGTACTGCAACCACACAATCAGTCAATCAGTAGCTGAACTGGGTTCCACACAGTCACAAAAAAAGGCACAAAAATGCAAAATAAATAGCAAACACAGACAGACCTCAGCGTAACACTCAAAACAGAAGCATAACACTCAAAATTGAATCAAGGCACTCAAAACGGAGCACATCCGGCTTCCCAAAAAGTTTGCAAACTGGAACCCTTACTTCCGGGTTTGCGGTGTTTGGGTTCCAAGTTGTTGGAGTACCAAGGCGTTTGAGAACCAAGGTACCACTGTAGAGGCTGGAGAAGCTTTTTCCCCCACCTGGGAGCCTCTTTCCATTCAAGACAATATTCGGGGCGGATCCAGAGGCAAAATTTTCTACCTCCCTCCAAGGAAACAACAGGCAAGATCAAGGGCCAGAGAGAGGCTTGGAGGGCCGCAGTTAGCGCCCCCTACCATGAGGCCTGAGGTTCCGCACTCCTGATTCAAATCTTCAAGAGTGGCGTTGACAGCCTTCCTAGTGGGTAGCAAGATAGCGGTACCGGCAGGGTCCCCGGTGCTGATTCCCTCTACCTGATTTGGTGACCCAGAAAGAGCTTGTCCTCCATCCCCAAGGAGAGATGGCTGAGTACGAATCGTCAGCACGGTTTCATCACCTGCGAGAGACAAAGAGGTCAGGAATGTTGGAAGGTCAACAACAGGAATCATGCAGTTTATCAGCTAAGGGTTAAATCTGGTGGTGTTTAAAGAGAGCTGGCCAAGAGGGGTGGGCGGAGCTGCTGCTTAGCAACCAAGCAGAGCGGCATGACCTTCACTGAGGAAACATGCTCGGATTGGCTGGGTGGTTCTGAGGGAGCTTTCCTCTGCTATGTTTGGATGAACGTCTCCCTGCTTTTGCTTGTTTTTTTCAGGAAAGTGATATCGGCTCTTTTCACAGTAGCACATGCTTGTCACGTAGACAAGAAGTTTGGGATCAGTTTAGCACAAGGGTCAGCAATCTTTTTCAGCCATGGGCCGGTCCACCATTCCTCAGATCATGTGGTGGGCCGGACTATTTTTTTTGGGGGGGTGGGTAATGAATGAATTCTTATGCCCCACAAATAGCCCAGAGATGCATTTTAAATAAAAGCACACATTCTGCTCATGTAAAAACACCAGGCAGGCCGCAGAAATAACCCAGAGATGCATTTAAAATAAAAGGACACATTCTTTTTAAAATTAATATTCTTGATTGATTTAAAAAATTTACATGTCTGTACAAACATTATGTACTATCTCTTAACAGGTAAAGAAAGAAAATTATATAAAATAGAACATTTATAAAAGAAAGAAAAATAAAGAAGTAGCAAAGATAAGAAACAAAGAAATAATAATAATAATAAAAGACAAAGTCCTGGAGTGTCCGCGGGCCGGATTGAGAAGGCGATTGGGCCGCATCTGGCCCCCGGGCCTTAGGTTGCCTACCCCTGGTTTAGCAGATGGATGGCCTTATTTCATATGTCCCCTTGGATCCTGCAAGCTGAGGGACTGGCACTCAGACAAGTGCCACATCATGCTCATCCTGAACCTGCAAGGAGCCATTCTTCTGGTCGAAGGTGCCCCATCTATGCTTACTCTGTAAGGCGGTTTCTCCGTCACCCTCCTGTTTGATAGGCCACCACAAGGAACGTTTCCTTGGCCTCAGAGAAATCTCCTCCTGCCTCTGAAGTTCGTTCCTTTACCTGAAACAGCAATGAGGACTAGGATCAAAAATAAAATTATAAGAGGGAAAACACTTTTGGGGGAGAGTTGAGACATTCTAGAAGACTTTGGGCAATTAGTGAAACGTTTTAGGGTATCTCCCCCTCACTTTACCAGCTGCTGGGAAATATCTCAGGTGAGGATGTATTTTAATTGATTGTCTGATTTTATGTTAATGTGTTATACATTTGATGTTAGCCGCTCTGAGCCCGGCTTCGGCTCTGGAGGGCGGGATATAAATAAAATTTATTATTATTATTATTATTATTATTATTATTATTATTATTATGTCAGTGAAACTGTCTCTCACCTGCTGCTCCTGAAGCTTTTTAATGTTTAATAGGTTATTGTATTTTAATATTCTGTTGGAAGCCGCCCAGAGTGGCTGGGGAAACCCAGCCAGATGGGTGGGGTATAAATAATAAATTATTATTATTATTATTATAATAATAATAATAATTTTTCTGTTGGGAACCGCCCAGAGTGGCTGGGGAAATCCCACCAGATGGGAGGGGTATATATTATTATTATTATTATTATTATTATTACTTGGGAGGAAGCTCCTTTCAGCCAGGCTCCTCTTTGTTTTTTTAGCTCTGTCTGCTTCCTCACCCGCCCTCTCCAAATGCGTGAAGGCAGCAAGGAGAGGGAGCCAAGCTGCTAGCCCCTCTGTCATTAGGGAAATTGGGATAAGGAGACAGAGAGTACTGACAAGGGAGAGCAGTGAGGTCCACTGATGCCATCTAGCCTTCCCCCCAACCACAAATTATATTATTATTATTATTATTATTATTATCATTATTAATTTCTATACCGCTTGATATTTTTTTTAAAAATCTCAAAGCAGTTTACTGCATATTTAACATCAATAAAACAATCTAGAATCAAACATTTCTGAAGAATGTCAAATATAAAGTATACAGTCAAAGCAACATATTTAACAGGAAACTAAAATATTATCTTAAAATATTTCAAAATAAAACATTACAAAGGAGGTTGACTACAGAATACATATTTAACACAAAGTTAACAAAACAAAACAAACTTGAACATTTCAAAAGAAAACATTGCTAAGTGAAGCCAACTATAAAATGCACATTGAAAACAGCATAGTTTACAAGCCGGTTGACTGACTGAACCCAAAGAGTACTCCTTAATGGTTCCTCAAATCCTCTATTACAGCAGTCCATTGCTGCCTCTTGTGGCAGTGAGTTCCATAGCTTAATTCCTCACTGTGCGAAGGGTTTCTTTTATATATCCTGGCTCTTCCACCATTCAGCTTCCTTTGACGCCCGCGAATTCTAGCGCTAGGAGAAATAAAAAGCTTTTCTACCTACTTTCTCCACACAATGCACAATTTTATAATCGTGTCACTTCTTACTTGCTTTTTTTCTAAACTAAAAAGTTCCCAATTCCGCGACCTTTCTCCACAGTGGAGTTCCTCCATCCCCTCGATAATTTGGGCTGCCCTTTTCTGAAGGTGGGGTTGGGACCACTGGGTGCAAAGTACAACTTCTGGAAAATCTCATTTATCCCTTCTTTGGGGGGAGGGAAGTTTCCAGCCCCGAAGAGCAGAGCAGACACTTCAACGTGGATGTGAAGTCTCTGAAAACAGAGAGGAAGGTGACCAGGGGTCAGAGAGCGGGGCTTGTCCCTCCCCAGGACTTGGAAAACATGGTAAATTGGCGGCAGCAGAGCTCCACGACTCTCGTGAGATGCACAACCAAAATAAATGGTACATAAAGTGCTTTTAAAATGAAGAAGCACACCTTTTTATGGTCCACAATTCTTTTGTTTTGCTGTGGAGAACAACCAGGCCTGCATGTCTCCTGCAAAGGCCTCACTAAGCAGGGCCTACTAATCATCATGGAACATCTTCTCCCCAGGGACTGATACTGATTTTTTGTTTCGTTTTGTTTTTTCAAAGGAAGAACAGAAAAAGATAACAAATGCAGAATTGTTCTTTTATTGTTTATAAGGTGTGAAATATACTTGGAGTCGAGAGTGGATTTCATGCTCTTTATTCAGCTCATAGTGGTGAGGAGGAACGAATGTTCCCCCACAGTATCTACTTTATATACATTATTTACACAATGGGCCCCATGTTATTGGCCAATGGATACAGTTAAACAATAGTGAAGTATCAGATCTGGAAGGACGTGGTAATAGATTTGGTTAGCATTCTGAATTTTGGTATGAGAAAACAAAGGTGCACAAGGAATTCCTGAATCACATTATAAGGAAATCAATTTACCAAGTATGGGACAAATATAAGAATTTATTAGAGAACAAGACACCTTTGTGGCTTTCCCCATTAGAAACCATATCTGTAAAAAGAGGTAAACACGAAACTGGGCAACATACAAAGATCTGTTAACAGAAGTAGAAAACAAATTAAAGGTGAAAAAATATGAGGATATAAAAGCTCTGTTAACAGGTTGGTTACAATATTGCCAAATAAATGACATATTCAGAGGTGACAAAGAGAAGGACTTTGGGAAGGAATTCTCAAAGTTCAAAAATGAATTATTAGAAAATAATGAGAAATTGTTATCAAGAATGTGCAAACCACTGTTGGAATGGGAGACGAAAGATGAAGAGGTTAAAGCTGTAATGATACACTTGGGCAAAAGACATAGGTTATAATATACCACTTGAATCATAGGAAAAGCTTGTGGAAAGAGATTTTAAAATTCACGGCATGTAGTTCATTAAAAGAAAATTATATGAAGATGATGTACTGATGGTATTTGACTCCAGTAAAGCTTGCTGAAATGTATAAAGATATCTCTAATTTATGCTGGAAATGTAAGGATAAGGAAGGAACTATTTTTTCATATGTGGTGGACGTGTAAAAAAGTAAAGGGCTTCTGGGAAATGATACACCATGAACTTTTTAAAATTCTTAAAATTACGTTTGTTAAAAAAAACCAGAGGCTTTTTTACTAGGAGTAATAGGAGGAGAATTGCCAAGGAAGCAAGAGACTGTTTATTTATGCGACTACAGCAGCCAGAATGCTACTAGCCCAGATGTGGAAAGAAGAAAAGGTCCCAAAGAAAGAAGAATGGATAACTAGATGACTGGCTAAGAAATATAATTATATGCAGGGAGAATAAAGGGGGGGAATGGAAACCAGGAGGGCAAGGGGAAAAGCCATTTATTGCAAATTTGGATTGGATATCTATGTACCAAAAGGAAAAATGTTATTTTGAAAATTGAAAATAATATAAATATATATTTTTAAAAATAGTTTAGAAAACGTTTTGGGGCGCCCGTGCAGGTGATCCAGCGGGGCTTTCCGGAGGCGAGACCAGCGCCTCTCCTCGCTCTCTGCCCGGAGAATCCCAGAGGCTCCTGCCGCTCGGCTCCGAAACGGTTAACAGCAGAGACGACAGAGCTGAGATTCCTAGAGCGGAGGAAAAAGGCTGTCGGGAGAATAGCAGTTTCCGCTTCCTGTCCCGCTTTGGGGGGGGGGGAGATGCCGAACATGGCGGTGGCTGTCTTTCCTCGCGGAGGCGCTGCAGGTGGGTCATATTGTTATATATTATAACTGGGGGGGTGGAGTGGGGGTGCTGCTGGAGGGAGTTGTGGGGAGGGATTTAAAAAAAAAACCCCATTAGGCAAACCGTTTCAATGTAAGTTTTTTTCTGTGTCTCCTTTTTCTAGTCGTCAGTTTATCCAGATTTAAACATTTTTAAAGATCACTTGAAAATTGGTCAGCATTTTGGTGCAGATTTCTCCTAATGGACACGCTTTTGCAAAGGGTATTTCCCCAAATATTTACATTTACCATAATTAATGCATTCTGTATATAATTCCGCTAAAATAATGCATTTATAGGGCTTTCCCCCTTTGTATGGGGGTAGGACATCTTTTCCCAATGGAGGGGCAGATCTTTCTCCTGCTCTTCTCCCTGCAGGTGGGGGACCTTCCTTGATCTCTCCATAGGGCTTGGGGTCAAGGCAAACCCTTAAGCATTGGGAAACCTTTTTCAGGGGCTTCCCCCTTGAACTTGTAATAATTTTTGTCTGGCCTGATTTTACTATAATTTATTAAAATTATGTGCCTCCCTATACCCACAGGCCTTAGGGCAGTTCACAGGATAAAATTGCAATATAAAAACTCAAAAGTACATAATCAAAACATAAACAAAATCAACCCAATAACGCCCCCCCAAACCACACACATTTTAATACATTTGTATTTAATTTAAATAGCAGTTTCTGCAAGGAGTTCTGGGCAGAAGAGGTTAAAAAAAGGAGAAACAAGCAACTTCAAGTCCACATTAAAATTACAAGCGTGGCTGAGGCCTTACTTAGACAGGCTAATACTATTACTATTACTACTACTAATACCCCTGAGCACCCTCTCCCACCAGTGTCTTGCCTCGGTAATGGACTGGATGAAAGCCAACAAATTGAAGCTCAGTCCAGATAAGAGTGAGGCTCAGTTAGTGGGTGGTTCCCTAGAGCAGATGGCTGGAAGGTCACATGCTCTTGATGGGGTTACACTTCCTCTGGAGGAGCAGGTTCATAGCTTGGGGGTTCTCCTGGTTCCTTTGCTATCACTCGAGGCTCAGATGGCCTGGAGTGCCTTCCATCAGCTTTGGCTGGTGGCCCAGCTACACCCCTACCTGGCCAGGGATAGCCTATCTACCGTTGTCTATGCTCTGGTAACTTCAAGGTTAGATATAGATATGTGTTATACGTAGGGCTGCCTCTGCAGACAGTTTGGAAACTTCAGCTAGTGCAGAATTCAGCGGCCAGGTTGCTCACCGGAGTAAGGCGGGTGAGCATATTACCCCCATCCTAGTCCGACTGCACTGGCTACCAGTTAGTTTCCAGGCCTAATTCAAGGTGCTCATATTGACCTATAAAGCCTTACATGGCTCAGGATCACAATACTTCAAGGGCTGCTTCTTTCCATATGAACCTAGCCTGATCCTGAGGTCCTCCTTCGTGGGCCTCCTCCTCAAGTGGTCTGGAGGGTGGCTGCGCGTCTGTGGAATGCTCTCCCCAGGGAAGTTCACCTGGCGCCTTCCTTATACACCTTTGTTGTTGATTAGTCATCTTAGTTGTGTCCAACTCTCCGTGACCCCATGAATTGGAGCATGCCTTGGAAACTCGCTTTCCTCTCAAAGCTTCTCCTGTTTTATGTCCATGGAGCTTTCATGGCATAATACTGGAGTGGGTTGCCAGTTTCTTCTCCAGGTGGATCACATTTAGTCTAAACTCTTGGGTGGACCTGCATGGCATAGGTCATAGCTTCTCTGACTTATTCAAGCTCCTTCGCCACGACAAGGCAGTGATCCATGAAGGGATATACACCTTTAAGTGCCATGCAAACATGTTCCTTTTTAACCAGGCTTTTGCTTGATATGTTTGACATCCTATAGTCTTTTTCAAACGTGACTCTTTTTGGGGGGTATTGGGTTGTTGTTTTTATTCTGATTATATATGATGTGATCTTTTCTGCGAACCACGCCGAGTCCTCCGGGTTTAGGGCGGTATATAAACTCAATAAATAATAATACCATATTAATACTTTCATTATTGGTACCCCACGGATCTGACTGGGTTCCCCAGCCACTCTAGCTGGCTTCTAACAAATATAAAAGCATAATAAAACATTTAAAACTTCCCTCTACATGACTGCCTCCAGTTGTCTTCTAAAAGTTATATAGTTGTTTGTTTCCTTGACATCTGACGGGATAGCTTTCCACAGGGTGGGCCCCACTACCAAGAAGGCCCTCCGCCTCGTTCCCTGTAACTTCCCTTCTCACAGGGAGGGAACTGCCACAAGGCCCTGGGACCTGGATCTCTGTGTCCTGACTGAATGTTTGGGGTGAAGACGCTCCTTTAGCATTTCATCAGTTTGCCTTTTTATTCCATCAGGAGATGTTGAAGGGATCCTGGTAGAAGGGGAACATTCAGAAGTGTCACCAAAAGGATCCAAAGAGGAGGAGGAGCAAAGGACGCTGGGGGGTCAAGATGGAGGCAGCAGGCAAGAGGGGAGACGAAAGCAGAAGCCGGAGGGTGACTCTTGTATGTCTCAGGGTGGTGAAAATCAAATTCCCAGAGAGGAGAAAAAGCATGAATGCACAGTGTGTGGAAAGAGATTGGGTAGTCGCTCAGCTCTTACTTTACATCAAAGAACTCATACAGGGGAGAAACCATATACATGTTCAGAGTGTGGAAAGAGCTTCAGTCAATGTGGTCAGCTTACATTGCATCAAAGAACTCATACAGGGGAGAAACCATATACATGTTCAGAGTGTGGAAGGAGCTTCAGTCGATATGGTAACCTTACCTCGCATCAAAGAACTCATACAGGGGAGAAACCGTATACATGTTTAGAGTGTGGAAAGAGCTTCAGTGAACGTGGCCATCTTACTAGGCATCAAAGAACTCATACAGGGGAGAAACCGTATAAATGCTTGGAGTGTGGAAAGAGCTTCAGTCACAGTAGTACCTTTATCTTGCATCAAAGAACTCATACAGGAGAGAAACCGTATAAATGTTTAGAGTGTGGAAAGAGCTTCAGTGAACGTGGCCATCTTACTAGGCATCAAAGATCTCATACAGGGGAGAAACCTTATAAATGTTTGGAGTGTGGCAAGAGCTTCTGTCGCGGTAGCCAACTCAGGTTGCATCAAAGAACTCATACAGGGGAGAAACCGTATACTTGTTCAGAGTGTGGAAAGAGCTTCAGTCGATGTGGTCAGCTTACCTCGCATCAAATAACTCATACAGAGGAGAAACCGCATACGTGTTTGGAGTGTGGAATGAGCTTCGCTCGCAGCAATGCGCTTGCTAGACATCAACAAACTCATCGAGGCAGCAAACCTTGTAAATGCTGGGAATGTGGCAAGAGCTTCAGTCGCATCGACTACCTTTCCTCGCATGAAAGAATTCATACAGGGGAGAAACGATATACATGTCTGGAGTGTGGAAAGAGCTTCAGCCATAGTTCCAGCCTTACCTTGCATCAAAGATTGCACACGGGAGAGAAACCTTATAAATGTTTGGAGTGTGGGAAGAGCTTCTGTCACGGTAGCCAACTCAGGTGGCATCAAAGAACTCATACAGGGGAGAAACCGTATACATGTTCAGAGTGTGGAAAGAGCTTCAGTGAACGTGGCCATCTTACTAGGCATCAAAGAACTCATACAGGGGAGAAACCGTATAAATGCTTGGAGTGTGGAAAGGGCTTCAGTCACAGTAGTACCTTTATCTTGCATCAAAGAACTCATACAGGGAGGAAATCTTAGAAATGTTTGGTGTATGGAAAGAACTTCAGTGACAGGGGCTCCCTTCCTAAACAATAAAGAACTCGTACAAGGGAAACATCTTAGAAAGGGTTGGCGTGTGGGAAGATCTTTAATCATATCAAATAATTCCTACAGAGAGTAAATCAATGATCGTGTTCTGGTCCCCCCAGGACAGCCATTATTGGATTGGAAGAACTTTCTGACAGTAAGAGCTGTTTTGACAATGGAACAGTCCCCTCGGGAGGTGGCGGGCTCTCCTTCCTTGGAGGATTTTAAGCAGAGGTGGGATGGGCTTCTGCTATGGATGCTTTAGCCGAGATTACTTCATTGCTGGGGGTTGGACTAGATGACCCTTTTGTTGTTTAGTCGTTTATTCCTGTCTGACTCTTCGTGACCCCATGGACCAGAGCACGCCAGACACTCCTGTCTTCCACCACCTCCCGCAGTTTGGTCAGGCTCATGTTTGTAGCTTCGAGAACACTGTCCAACCATCTTGTCCTCTGTTGTCCCCTTCTCCTTGTGGGTTGGAAGAACTTTCTGACAGAAAGAGCTGTTTTGACAATGGAACAGTCCCCCTCGGGAGGTGGCGGGCTCTCCTTCCTTGGAAGATTTTAAGCAGAGGTTAAAATCTTTCCCAACATCAGGGTCTTTTTCAGGGAGTCTTCTCATGAGGTGGCCAAAGTATTGGAGCCTCAGCTTCAGGATCTGTCCTTCCAGTGAGCACTCAGGGCTGATTTCCTTAAGAATGGAGAGGTTTGATCTTCTTGCAGTCCATGGGACTCTCAAGAGTCTCCTCCAGCACCATAATTCAAAAGCATCAATTCTTCGGCGATCAGCCTAGATGACCCTTGGGGTCCCTTATAACTACAGTTCTATGATTCTATATACATCATCTGCTAGACAGCTGTTGTCACAAGCTTGGCAAATCCAGAGATATACTTGATCATCAGATAATGCCAATATTATTCACTTGGACTGTGCTGTTTGAATCCATGTACAATTCTAGGTGCCTATTCTATAGTTTTGCTTTTCATATCCTAATTTTCATCTGCTGTTACTTGTAGCGTTCCCAAAGCAAGGAAGGATTCAGAAGATCAGTAAAGGAAGGAAGGAAGGGTAGTATTCACCATCTCTTTGTGAACTCTCTTCCTGAACTCTCTTCCTGGCCCTAAGATCTATCTAAAGATTAACAAACTACATCAAAGTAACCTATTAATTTTATGGCCTAGGATGCCTGGTGCGGCAACTGGTCTGTGTCCTAGAATGCTTATAGGTGCTTGTCAGACATAGAGAAATGGGCAGTAGAGAAAAATGGCGTAGATGCAGAGGCTTGTGGGATTTGATCAGAAATTTTTGGCAATGAATCAAACCCAGTCAACGCAATGCTTTCATCGCGGACACAATGGCTTGATGCATATTTTATCATTCCTCATAATAATCCCGTCTGATCACTACAGTTATAGCTGCTATCTCTGTTTCATGTGCATCATAAAATGAAACAGAAAAAGCTTTACGAAAATAAAATCTTTATGAATTTTTTTTTAAAAAACCCTCATGAGTCCCACCTACACTGGAAAAAAATTGTGGGATCTGCTCACATCCCTCATGGTTAGCTTACTGCAATGCATCGTACAAACAGATATCGTAGAAGGTTGGGCCACAGGCTGTAGCTGGTGCAGAACGCAATAGCCAGGTGGCTTGTGTGAGCAAGGTTAAAAAGGTAAAGGATCCCTGGACAGTTAAGTCCAGTCAAAGGCAGCTATGGGGTTGCAGCGCTCATCTTGCTTTCAGGCCGAGGCAGCTGGCGTTTGTCCACAGACAGCTTTCTGGGTCATGTGGCTAGCAGGACTAAACCACTTCTGGCGCAATGGAACACCGTGACGGAAACCAGAACTCACGAAAACACCGTTTGCCTTCCTGCCACAGTGGTACCTATTTACCTACTAGCGCCGGTGTGCTTTCGAACTGCTAGGTTGGCAGGAGCTGGGGCAGAGCAGCAGGAGCTCACTCCGTCGCACAAATTCGAACCGCCAACCTTGCCATCAGCAAGCCCAAGAGGCTCAGTGGTTTAGACCACAGTGCCATCCACGTCAGGCTTGTGGGAGGAAACTACTGCCAGCATAGAACAGCCTGCTAGTAGGATTGGCACTTGCTACCAATCTGCTACTGGGCTGAGTTCAAGGAGTTTGTACTAACGTGCAAGTCCCTGTTCTGCTCAGTCCCAGATATACAGCAGAGATTCTCCTGCAAGTTCCAAAGATCTCCAAAGCACACACCCAGAATGGGGCTTTTAGTGTCACTGTTTGTGTTCTGTGGAATGGCATCCCTTTGGGGGGGGGGAATTGGGACCTTTTTCAGCTGGATAAATAAATTTTAATAATGGGTGTCCACTTGTTACGGTTTTAGTCTTATTTTTATTTGTTGCCTTTGTGTATATAACTGCTTTTTAAAACATTTTTTATATAAATTGCCTTGAGACGGTGGTTTAGAAGGCAATCAATTATTTTGTAAAAATATTTTTAAAATACTTTTCACATTTATGCATTTCACTTATTTTACAATCATTTTGACATTTCAAGGTTTGACTTCCTTCCTCCTCTTTCTGTGGTTCGTTAAATTTATTTTTAATATCTTCTGCATATCCAAATTAACTTAATTTGCTCATTTATTCATCTTCTTTAAATATATACTGGTATGAAACTGCAGGTTATTACAATAATCCTACCAATGTTTTTATCTGTTTACAATTTATCTGTAAATATTCAATAAACCATTTCCATTCTTTTATTTTTAAAAAATGTTATCTTGATTCCTTATTCTTCTGGTAAGTTTCGCCATAGAAGGCAACCATATTTAAGGCAATCAATAAATTATTGTTACAAATAATATGATAATAATTTTTACTTTTTCTACTGGCATCTGACCAGGGTTAATCCTTCTGTGGAATTTTGTTAAATGGGAAAACGGTAGATAAACAGAAGCAGAGTTATAGAAAGAGATATACAGAAGATGTACACAAATAGATAAATCTCGCTGGACCAAAAGAATAAGAATTTTGATGCTGACACACAGTCGTTAAACCCGTTGAGTATTGCCAATTAATTTACTTGCATTTCTGAAAATATATTATCATCAAGCAGAGTAAAAGGGAACCTTACCGAGAGAGGACACGATCCTGCAAATCTCCTTCATAATTTGGCTGTGCAGGGCTCTCTGGTCAGGACCCAGCAGAGCCCATTCCTCTTCAGTGAAACTGAGTCCTGAGAGAGAGAGAAGGCAGGTGGGGAAAATGCTTCCTTGCAAATATCAAAATAGACTGGCCTACAAGCAAAATCCCAAAGCCTTGTTAAGGGGAGGTGAATGGGCATTACCCTCAGGATTAATATACATTGGTACCTTGGTTCTCAAACTTAATCCATTCCGGAGGTCTGTTCCCAAACCAAAGCATTCCAAAACCAAGGCGCGCTTTCCCATAGAAAGTAATGCAAAATGGATTAATCCCTCCCAGACTTCTGAAAACAACCCCTAAAACAGCAATTAAACATGAATTTTACTATCTAACAATACCACTGATCCATAAAATGAAAGCAATAAACAATGTACTGCAACCACACAATCAGTCCATCAGTAGCTGAACTGATTCCACACAGTCACAAAAAAAAGGCACAAAAATGCAAAATAAATAGCAAACACAGACAGACCTCAGCGTAACACTCAAAACAGAAGCATAACACTCAAAATTGAATCAAGGCACTCAAAACGGAGCACATCCGGCTTCCCAAAAAGTTTGCAAACTGGAACCCTTACTTCCGGGTTTGCGGTGTTTGGGTTCCAAGTTGTTGGAGTACCAAGGCGTTTGAGAACCAAGGTACCACTGTAGAGGCTGGAGAAGCTTTTTCCCCCACCTGGGAGCCTCTTTCCATTCAAGACAATATTCGGGGCGGATCCAGAGGCAAAATTTTCTACCTCCCTCCAAGGAAACAACAGGCAAGATCAAGGGCCAGAGAGAGGCTTGGAGGGCCGCAGTTAGCGCCCCCTACCATGAGGCCTGAGGTTCCGCACTCCTGATTCAAATCTTCAAGAGTGGCGTTGACAGCCTTCCTAGTGGGTAGCAAGATAGCGGTACCGGCAGGGTCCCCGGTGCTGATTCCCTCTACCTGATTTGGTGACCCAGAAAGAGCTTGTCCTCCATCCCCAAGGAGAGATGGCTGAGTACGAATCGTCAGCACGGTTTCATCACCTGCGAGAGACAAAGAGGTCAGGAATGTTGGAAGGTCAACAGCAGGAATCATGCAGTTTATCAGCTAAGGGTTAAATCTGGTGGTGTTTAAAGAGAGCTGGCCAAGAGGGGTGGGCGGAGCTGCTGCTTAGCAACCAAGCAGAGCGGCATGACCTTCACTGAGGAAACATGCTCGGATTGGCTGGGTGGTTCTGAGGGAGCTTTCCTCTGCTATGTTTGGATGAACGTCTCCCTGCTTTTGCTTGTTTTTTCAGGAAAGTGATATCGGCTCTTTTCACAGTAGCACATGCTTGTCACGTAGACAAGAAGTTTGGGATCAGTTTAGCACAAGGGTCAGCAATCTTTTTCAGCCATGGGCCGGTCCACCATTCCTCAGATCATGTGGTGGGCCGGACTATTTTTTTTGGGGGGGTGGGTAATGAATGAATTCTTATGCCCCACAAATAGCCCAGAGATGCATTTTAAATAAAAGCACACATTCTGCTCATGTAAAAACACCAGGCAGGCCGCAGAAATAACCCAGAGATGCATTTAAAATAAAAGGACACATTCTTTTTAAAATTAATATTCTTGATTGATTAAAAAAATTACATGTCTGTACAAACATGTACTATCTCTTAACAGGTAAAGAAAGAAAATTATATAAAATAGAACATTTATAAAAGAAAGAAAAACAAAGAAGTAGCAAAGATAAGAAACAAAGAAATAATAATAATAATAAAAGACAAAGTCCTGGAGTGTCCGCGGGCCGGATTGAGAAGGCGATGGGCCGCATCTGGCCCCCGGGCCTTAGGTTGCCTACCCCTGGTTTAGCAGATGGATGGCCTTATTTCATATGTCCCCTTGGATCCTGCAAGCTGAGGGACTGGCACTCAGACAAGTGCCACATCATGCTCATCCTGAACCTGCAAGGAGCCATTCTTCTGGTCGAAGGTGCCCCATCTATGCTTACTCTGTAAGGCGGTTTCTCCGTCACCCTCCTGTTTGATAGGCCACCACAAGGAACGTTTCCTTGGCCTCAGAGAAATCTCCTCCTGCCTCTGAAGTTCGTTCCTTTACCTGAAACAGCAATGAGGACTAGGATCAAAAATAAAATTATAAGAGGGAAAACACTTTTGGGGGAGAGTTGAGACATTCTAGAAGACTTTGGGCAATTAGTGAAACGTTTTAGGGTATCTCCCCCTCACTTTACCAGCTGCTGGGAAATATCTCAGGTGAGGATGTATTTTAATTGATTGTCTGATTTTATGTTAATGTGTTATACATTTGATGTTAGCCGCTCTGAGCCCGGCTTCGGCTCTGGAGGGCGGGATATAAATAAAATTTATTATTATTATTATTATTATTATTATTATTATTATTATTATGTCAGTGAAACTGTCTCTCACCTGCTGCTCCTGAAGCTTTTTAATGTTTAATAGGTTATTGTATTTTAATATTCTGTTGGAAGCCGCCCAGAGTGGCTGGGGAAACCCAGCCAGATGGGTGGGGTATAAATAATAAATTATTATTATTATTATTATTAATAATAATAATAATTTTTCTGTTGGGAACCGCCCAGAGTGGCTGGGGAAATCCCACCAGATGGGAGGGGTATATATTATTATTATTATTATTATTATTATTACTTGGGAGGAAGCTCCTTTCAGCCAGGCTCCTCTTTGTTTTTTTAGCTCTGTCTGCTTCCTCACCCGCCCTCTCCAAATGCGTGAAGGCAGCAAGGAGAGGGAGCCAAGCTGCTAGCCCCTCTGTCATTAGGGAAATTGGGATAAGGAGACAGAGAGTACTGACAAGGGAGAGCAGTGAGGTCCACTGATGCCATCTAGCCTTCCCCCAACCACAAATTATATTATTATTATTATTATTATTATTATCATTAATTTCTATACCGCTTGGTTTTTTAAAAAAAATATCTCAAAGCGGTTTACTGCATATTTAACATCAATAAAACAATCTAGAATCAAACATTTCTGAAGAATGTCAAATATAAAGTATACAGTCAAAGCAACATATTTAACAGGAAACTAAAATATTATCTTAAAATATTTCAAAATAAAACATTACAAAGGAGGTTGACTACAGAATACATATTTAACACAAAGTTAACAAAACAAAACAAACTTGAACATTTCAAAAGAAAACATTGCTAAGTGAAGCCAACTATAAAATGCACATTGAAAACAGCATAGTTTACAAGCCGGTTGACTGACTGAACCCAAAGAGTACTCCTTAATGGTTCCTCAAATCCTCTATTACAGCAGTCCATTGCTGCCTCTTGTGGCAGTGAGTTCCATAGCTTAATTCCTCACTGTGAGAAAGGGTTTCTTTTATATATCCTGGCTCTTCCACCATTCAGCTTCCTTTGACGCCCGCGAATTCTAGCGCTAGGAGAAATAAAAAGCTTTTCTACCTACTTTCTCCACACAATGCACAATTTTATAATCGTGTCACTTCTTACTTGCTTTTTTCTAAACTAAAAGTTCCCAATTCCGCGACCTTTCTCCACAGTGGAGTTCCTCCATCCCCTCGATAATTTGGGCTGCCCTTTTCTGAAGGTGGGGTTGGGACCACTGGGTGCAAAGTACAACTTCTGGAAAATCTCATTTATCCCTTCTTTGGGGGGAGGGAAGTTTCCAGCCCCGAAGAGCAGAGCAGACACTTCAACGTGGATGTGAAGTCTCTGAAAACAGAGAGGAAGGTGACCAGGGGTCAGAGAGCGGGGCTTGTCCCCCCCAGGACTTGGAAAACATGGTAAATTGGCGGCAGCAGAGCTCCACGACTCTCGTGAGATGCACAACCAAAATAAATGGTACATAAAGTGCTTTTAAAATGAAGAAGCACACCTTTTTATGGTCCACAATTCTTTTGTTTTGCTGTGGAGAACAACCAGGCCTGCATGTCTCCTGCAAAGGCCTCACTAAGCAGGGCCTACTAATCATCATGGAACATCTTCTCCCCAGGGACTGATACTGATTTTTGTTTCGTTTTGTTTTTTCAAAGGAAGAACAGAAAAAGATAACAAATGCAGAATTGTTCTTTTATTGTTTATAAGGTGTGAAATATACTTGGAGTCGAGAGTGGATTTCATGCTCTTTATTCAGCTCATAGTGGTGAGGAGGAACGAATGTTCCCCCACAGTATCTACTTTATATACATTATTTACACAATGGGCCCCATGTTATTGGCCAATGGATACAGTTAAACAATAGTGAAGTATCAGATCTGGAAGGACGTGGTAATAGATTTGGTTAGCATTCTGAATTTTGGTATGAGAAAACAAAGGTGCACAAGGAATTCCTGAATCACATTATAAGGAAATCAATTTACCAAGTATGGGACAAATATAAGAATTTATTAGAGAACAAGACACCTTTGTGGCTTTCCCCATTAGAAACCATATCTGTAAAAAGAGGTAAACACGAAACTGGGCAACATACAAAGATCTGTTAACAGAAGTAGAAAACAAATTAAAGGTGAAAAAATATGAGGATATAAAAGCTCTGTTAACAGGTTGGTTACAATATTGCCAAATAAATGACATATTCAGAGGTGACAAAGAGAAGGACTTTGGGAAGGAATTCTCAAAGTTCAAAAATGAATTATTAGAAAATAATGAGAAATTGTTATCAAGAATGTGCAAACCACTGTTGGAATGGGAGACGAAAGATGAAGAGGTTAAAGCTGTAATGATACACTTGGCAAAAGACAGGTTATAATATACCACTTGAATCATAGGAAAACTTGTGGAAAGAGATTTTAAAATTCACGGCATGTAGTTCATTAAAAGAAAATTATATGAAGATGATGTACCGATGGTATTTGACTCCAGTAAAGCTTGCTGAAATGTATAAAGATATCTCTAATTTATGCTGGAAATGTAAGGATAAGGAAGGAACTATTTTTTCATATGTGGTGGACGTGTAAAAAAGTAAAGGGCTTCTGGGAAATGATATACAATGAACTTAAAAAAATTCTTAAAATTACGTTTGTTGGAAAAAAACCAGAGGCTTTTTTCTAGGTGTAATAGGAGAAGAATTGCCAAGGAAGCAAAAGAGACTGTTTCTTTATGCGACTACAGCAGCCAGAATGCTACTAGGCCAGATGTGGAAAGAAGAAAAGGTCCCAACGAAAGAAGAATGGATAACTAGATGACTGGCTAAGAAATATAATTATATGCAGGGAGAATAAAGGGGGGGAATGGAAACCAGGAGGGCAAGGGGAAAAGCCATTTATTGCAAATTTGGATTGGATATCTATGTACCAAAAGGAAAAATGTTATTTTGAAAATTGAAAATAATAAAAAATATATTTTTAAAAATAGTTTAGAAAACGTTTTGGGGCGCCCGTGCAGGTGATCCAGCGGGGCTTTCCGGAGGCGAGACCAGCGCCTCTCCTCGCTCTCTGCCCGGAGAATCCCAGAGGCTCCTGCCGCTCGGCTCCGAAACGGTTAACAGCAGAGACGACAGAGCTGAGATTCCTAGAGCGGAGGAAAAAGGCTGTCGGGAGAATAGCAGCTTCCGCTTCCTGTCGCGCTTTGGGCGGGGGGGGGGGAGAGATGCTGAACATGGCGGTGGCTGTCCTTCCTCGCGGAGGCGCTGCAGGTGGGTCATATTGTTATATATTATAACTGGGGGGGTGGAGTGGGGGTGCTGCTGGAGGGAGTTGTGGGGAGGGATTAAAAAAAAAACCCTGTTAGGCAAAGCGTTTCAATGTAAGTTTTTTTCTGTGTCTCCTTTTTCTAGTCGTCAGTTTATCCAGATTTAAACATTTTTAAAGATCACTTGAAAATTGGTCAGCATTTTGGTGCAGATTTCTCCTAATGGACACGCTTTTGCAAAGGGTATTTCCCCAAATATTTACATTTACCATAATTAATGCATTCTGTATATAATTCCGCTAAAATAATGCATTTATAGGGCTTTCCCCCTTTGTATGGGGGTAGGACATCTTTTCCCAATGGAGGGGCAGATCTTTCTCCTGCTCTCTCTCCCCCTGCAGGTGGGGGACCTTCCTTGATCTCTCCATAGGGCTTGGGGTCAAGGCAAACCCTTAAGCATTGGGAAACCTTTTTCAGGGGCTTCCCCCTTGAACTTGTAATAATTTTTGTCTGGCCTGATTTTACTATAATTTATTAAAATTATGTGCCTCCCTATACCCACAGGCCTTAGGGCAGTTCACAGGATAAAATTGCAATATAAAAACTCAAAAGTACATAATCAAAACATAAACAAAATCAACCCAATAACGCCCCCCCAAACCACACACATTTTAATACATTTGTGTTTAAATTAAATACAGCAGTTCTGGGCAGAAGAGGTTAAAAAAAAGGAGAAACAAGCAACTTCAAGTCCACATTAAAATTACAAGCGTGGCTGAGGCCTTACTTAGACAGGCTAATACTATTACTATTACTACTACTAATACCCCTGAGCACCCTCTCCCACCAGTGTCTTGCCTCGGTAATGGACTGGATGAAAGCCAACAAATTGAAGCTCAGTCCAGATAAGAGTGAGGCTCAGTTAGTGGGTGGTTCCCTAGAGCAGATGGCTGGAAGGTCACCTGCTATTGATGGGGTTACACTTCCTCTGAAGGAGCAGGTTCCTAGCTTGGGGGTAATCCTGGATCCTTTGCTGTTGCTCGAGGCTCAGATGGCCTGGAGTGCCTTTCATCACCTTTGGCTGGTAGCCCAGCTACACCCCTATCTGGACAAGGATAGCCTATCTACCGTTGTCTATGCTCCGGGAACTTCAACGTTAGATATAGATATGTGTTATACGTAGGGCTGCCTCTGAAGATAGTTTGGAAACTTCAGCTAGTGCAGAATTCAGCGGCCAGGTTGCTCACCGGAGTAAGGCGGGTGAGCATATTACCCCCATCCTGGTCCGACTGCACTGGCTACCAGTTAGTTTCCAGGCCTAATTCAAGGTGCTCATATTGACCTATAAAGCCTTACATGGCTCAGGATCACAATACTTCAAGGGCTGCTTCTTTCCATATGAACCTAGCCTGATCCTGAGGTCCTCCTTCGTGGGCCTCCTCCTCAAGTGGTCTGGAGGGTGGCTGCGCGTCTGTGGAATGCTCTCCCCAGGGAAGTTCACCTGGCGCCTTCCTTATACACCTTTGTTGTTGATTAGTCATCTTAGTTGTGTCCAACTCTCCGTGACCCCATGAATTGGAGCATGCCTTGGAAACTCGCTTTCCTCTCAAAGCTTCTCCTGTTTTATGTCCATGGAGCTTTCATGGCATAATACTGGAGTGGGTTGCCAGTTTCTTCTCCAGGTGGATCACATTTAGTCTAAACTCTTGGGTGGACCTGCATGGCATAGGTCATAGCTTCTCTGACTTATTCAAGCTCCTTCGCCACGACAAGGCAGTGATCCATGAAGGGATATACACCTTTAAGTGCCATGCAAACATGTTCCTTTTTAACCAGGCTTTTGCTTGATATGTTTGACATCCTATAGTCTTTTTCAAACGTGACTCTTTTTTGGGGGGGGGGTATTGGGTTGTTGTTTTTATACTGATAATATATGATGTGATCTTTTATGAGAAACACGCAGAGTCCACCGGGTTTAGGGCGGTATATAAACTCAATAAATAATAATACCATATTAATACTTTCATTATTGGTACCCCACGGATCTGACTGGGTTCCCCAGCCACTCTAGCTGGCTTCTAACAAATATAAAAGCATAATAAAACATTTAAAACTTCCCTCTACATGACTGCCTCCAGTTGTCTTCTAAAAGTTATATAGTTGTTTGTTTCCTTGACATCTGACGGGATAGCTTTCCACAGGGTGGGCCCCACTACCAAGAAGGCCCTCCGCCTCGTTCCCTGTAACTTCCCTTCTCACAGGGAGGGAACTGCCACAAGGCCCTGGGACCTGGATCTCTGTGTCCTGACTGAATGTTTGGGGTGAAGACGCTCCTTTAGCATTTCATCAGTTTGCCTTTTTATTCCATCAGGAGATGTTGAAGGGATCCTGGTAGAAGGGGAACATTCAGAAGTGTCACCAAAAGGATCCAAAGAGGAGGAGGAGCAAAGGGACGCTGGGGGGTCAAGATGGAGGCAGCAGGCAAGAGGGGAGACGAAAGCAGAAGCCGGAGGGTGACTCTTGTATGTCTCAGGGTGGTGAAAATCAAATTCCCAGAGAGGAGAAAAAGCATGAATGCACAGTGTGTGGAAAGAGATTGGGTAGTCGCTCAGCTCTTACTTTACATCAAAGAACTCATACAGGGGAGAAACCATATACATGTTCAGAGTGTGGAAAGAGCTTCAGTCAATGTGGTCAGCTTACATTGCATCAAAGAACTCATACAGGGGAGAAACCATATACATGTTCAGAGTGTGGAAGGAGCTTCAGTCGATATGGTAACCTTACCTCGCATCAAAGAACTCATACAGGGGAGAAACCGTATACATGTTTAGAGTGTGGAAAGAGCTTCAGTGAACGTGGCCATCTTACTAGGCATCAAAGAACTCATACAGGGGAGAAACCGTATAAATGCTTGGAGTGTGGAAAGAGCTTCAGTCACAGTAGTACCTTTATCTTGCATCAAAGAACTCATACAGGAGAGAAACCGTATAAATGTTTAGAGTGTGGAAAGAGCTTCAGTGAACGTGGCCATCTTACTAGGCATCAAAGATCTCATACAGGGGAGAAACCTTATAAATGTTTGGAGTGTGGCAAGAGCTTCTGTCTCGGTAGCCAACTCAGGTGGCATCAAAGAACTCATACAGGGGAGAAACCGTATACTTGTTCAGAGTGTGGAAAGAGCTTCAGTCGATGTGGTCAGCTTACCTCGCATCAAATAACTCATACAGAGGAGAAACCGCATACGTGTTTGGAGTGTGGAATGAGCTTCGCTCGCAGCAATGCGCTTACTAGACATCAACAAACTCATAGAGGTAGCAAACCTTATAAATGCTGGGAATGTGGCAAGAGCTTCAGTCGCAACGACTACCTTTCCTCGCATGAAAGAATTCATACAGGGGAGAAACGATATATATGTCTGGAGTGTGGAAAGAGCTTCAGCCATAGTTCCAGCCTTACCTTGCATCAAAGATTGCACACGGGAGAGAAACCTTATAAATGTTTGGAGTGTGGGAAGAGCTTCTGTCACGGTAGCCAACTCAGGTGGCATCAAAGAACTCATACAGGGGAGAAACCGTATACATGTTCAGAGTGTGGAAAGAGCTTCAGTGAACGTGGCCATCTTACTAGGCATCAAAGAACTCATACAGGGGAGAAACCGTATAAATGCTTGGAGTGTGGAAAGGGCTTCAGTCACAGTAGTACCTTTATCTTGCATCAAAGAATTCATACAGGGAGGAAATCTTAGAAATGTTTGGTGTATGGAAAGAACTTCAGTGACAGGGGCTCCCTTCCTAAACAATAAAGAACTCGTACAAGGGAAACATCTTAGAAAGGGTTGGCGTGTGGGAAGATCTTTAATCATATCAAATAATTCCTACAGAGAGTAAATCAATGATCGTGTTCTGGTCCCCCCAGGACAGCCATTATTGGATTGGAAGAACTTTCTGACAGTAAGAGCTGTTTTGACAATGGAACAGTCTCCCTCGGGAGGTGGCGGGCTCTCCTTCCTTGGAGGATTTTAAGCAGAGGTGGGATGGGCTTCTGCTATGGATGCTTTAGCCGAGATTACTTCATTGCTGGGGGTTGGACTAGATGACCCTTTTGTTGTTTAGTCGTTTATTCCTGTCTGACTCTTCGTGACCCCATGGACCAGAGCACGCCAGACACTCCTGTCTTCCACCACCTCCCGCAGTTTGGTCAGGCTCATGTTTGTAGCTTCGAGAACACTGTCCAACCATCTTGTCCTCTGTCGTCCCCTTCTCCTTGTGGGTTGGAAGAACTTTCTGACAGAAAGAGCTGTTTTGACAATGGAACAGTCCCCCTCGGGAGGTGGCGGGCTCTCCTTCCTTGGAAGATTTTAAGCAGAGGTTAAAATCTTTCCCAACATCAGGGTCTTTTTCAGGAGTCTTCTCATGAGGTGGCCAAAGTATTGGAGCCTCAGCTTCAGGATCTGTCCTTCCAGTGAGCACTCAGGGCTGATTTCCTTAAGAATGGAGAGGTTTGATCTTCTTGCAGTCCATGGGACTCTCAAGAGTCTCCTCCAGCACCATAATTCAAAAGCATCAATTCTTCGGCGATCAGCCTAGATGACCCTTGGGGTCCCTTATAACTACAGTTCTATGATTCTATATACATCATCTGCTAGACAGCTGTTGTCACAAGCTTGGCAAATCCAGAGATATACTTGATCATCAGATAATGCCAATATTATTCACTTGGACTGTGCTGTTTGAATCCATGTACAATTCTAGGTGCCTATTCTATAGTTTTGCTTTTCATATCCTAATTTTCATCTGCTGTTACTTGTAGCGTTCCCAAAGCAAGGAAGGATTCAGAAGATCAGTAAAGGAAGGAAGGAAGGGTAGTATTCACCATCTCTTTGTGAACTCTCTTCCTGAACTCTCTTCCTGGCCCTAAGATCTATCTAAAGATTAACAAACTACATCAAAGTAACCTATTAATTTTATGGCCTAGGATGCCTGGTGCAGGCAACTGGTCTGTGTCCTAGAATGCTTATAGGTGCTTGTCAGACATAGAAAAATGGGCAGTAGAGAAAAATGGCGTAGATGCAGAGGCTTGTGGGATTTGATCAGAAATTTTTGGCAATGAATCAAACCCAGTCAACGCAATGCTTTCATCGCGGACACAATGGCTTGATGCATATTTTATCATTCCTCATAATAATCCCGTCTGATCACTACAGTTATAGCTGCTATCTCTGTTTCATGTGCATCATAAAATGAAACAGAAAAAGCTTTACGAAAATAAAATCTTTATGAATTTTTTTTTTAAAAAACCCTCATGAGTCCCACCTACACTGGAAAAAAATTGTGGGATCTGCTCACATCCCTCATGGTTAGCTTACTGCAATGCATCGTACAAACAGATATCGTAGAAGGTTGGGCCACAGGCTGTAGCTGGTGCAGAACGCAATAGCCAGGTGGCTTGTGTGAGCAAGGTTAAAAAGGTAAAGGATCCCTGGACAGTTAAGTCCAGTCAAAGGCAGCTATGGGGTTGCAGCGCTCATCTTGCTTTCAGGCCGAGGCAGCTGGCGTTTGTCCACAGACAGCTTTCTGGGTCATGTGGCTAGCAGGACTAAACCGCTTCTGGCGCAATGGAACACCGTGACGGAAACCAGAACTCACGAAAACACCGTTTGCCTTCCTGCCACAGTGGTACCTATTTACCTACTAGCGCCGGTGTGCTTTCGAACTGCTAGGTTGGCAGGAGCTGGGGCAGAGCAGCAGGAGCTCACTCCGTCGCACAAATTCGAACCGCCAACCTTGCCATCAGCAAGCCCAAGAGGCTCAGTGGTTTAGACCACAGTGCCATCCACGTCAGGCTTGTGGGAGGAAACTACTGCCAGCATAGAACAGCCTGCTAGTAGGATTGGCACTTGCTACCAATCTGCTACTGGGCTGAGTTCAAGGAGTTTGTACTAACGTGCAAGTCCCTGTTCTGCTCAGTCCCAGATATACAGCAGAGATTCTCCTGCAAGTTCCAAAGATCTCCAAAGCACACACCCAGAATGGGGCTTTTAGTGTCACTGTTTGTGTTCTGTGGAATGGCATCCCTTTTGGGGGGGGGAATTGGGACCTTTTTCAGCTGGATAAATAAATTTTAATAATGGGTGTCCACTTGTTAC